TTTCACAAGGATTGTATTTACAAATGGGTGAATTTAAACAAGAATTCTTGCCCCCTTTGTCGATCTCCAATTTTCTAAATCTCTCGCAATTTGGGACTGTTTGGTTGGTGCTTTTGTTAAGATTGCCTTTGTTTCATCCAATTCAATGTATTCCTTCTTATGCATACAAACGAATAATGTCAAATTTGAAATATCAATTACCCCTTGTAAAGTAAGTGATCTCTCTCTCTCTCTCTAAAACCTCTCTTTCCTGCATTTTCTCTCTCTATAAAAGCAACCTAAATAGAAAATAACAACCCAAAAATGACCTCCTAGTTTCCTAGCTCTAGCATTATTCTAATTTTGGGTCCACATGTCCATTCCTAATTCAAATAGGACATCACCCAAACTAAACTCCTAAATTAACAGTAGGTTGTTAATACTATTTCACCCAAAACAAACTCCTAAAGTGAATGTAGGTTATTAATATAATTCATCAAATAATGAGAAGTACCCATAAAAATAAGAAACCTAGAATAAAAATAAATAATTCCTTAATTATTTGGGATCCGAGACGTGTCCAATATCTTCAATGTGATAAAAGGACAAAAAGGAGTACATAGTACCGCGTAGATATATGCTTTTAGGACTATATAATACATTAAAAAACATGGGTTCAGATTGTATAGAGTCTAGCTCGGAACATTTAGGGCCTACCTTCAAATAGTATCAAGAAATGTGGTTTTAGTACTGAAATTTTTTGTAATAGCTTTAAAATATATTTTTATATTTATTTATAAAGTTTAAAGTTTCAAAATAGTGTAGATTAACGGATCTATGAAAACTTAAAAATCTTGAAAATTGACGGTCTAAAAATACACGTTACAAAATACACTATTTTCAAAACTTGAAATCCATTTTTTTCTCATGTCCATACATCTTGATGTCAATATGATCAATTTGAGGATATTTGGGCATCAAAACAATCTCTTCTAATTAAATTTTTGAGGTAGGCTCTTATTTGATTGTTTAGGGCCTAAGCTCTATATAAACTTTTTCCTTAAAAAATTGACCCAAAAGGGCATTGCAACATGCCATGTTACAAGGAACCGGTTTCTATACCGCCAGGCCCGCATACGTAGAAATGTGAGCCTATGGATAAATCTATTTTGAGATATGGATTTTTTAACTTAATTTTTAAGAACATGTAATCTCTAACATGGAGATCATGAATACGAAAAAATAAGTAAAATTTTAAAAATTATAAATAATAATTCTAATAAAAAAATATTTGGATCGTTTGTTTTTATTGTTTTTAGATGAAACACCAACTTGCATTTATCTTTAAGATGAATGCTTTACACTGTTTTAACCGCATATGTAGTCGGTCCAGCCCACATGAAACAATTGTTGTTGTTGCAATTCACTTTTTTTGGATTAAAACCATTCAGAATTTGACCTTTTTCTGGACATTTTATCCCTTCTAAATTCTATTTTAATACAATACAATTACATTCTGTCTCGTTCAACTTTCAATGCATTTTCCCTTCTTTTCATTTCTCTCTTACACCTGTTTGATACAGGCAATTTTACGCACGGACATATTATTGATCCGTTATCGGAAAAGGCCCAGAAATGAGATATTATTATTGAGGACAGAATCCCCATTTTTTTTTTTGATAAATTTGCCCTCGGTTCATCATTTTGCTTTTTAACCTCCCATCTCTTTCTTTACGGACATGCCCTTGAGTATTTTTCTTTTTATCTTTTTTTTTTTTATCTTTATACCCTCGGTTCGATGTTAGAAACATCTTACCGCCAATTGTTCAATCTTTTTTATAAATCAAACGATCTGATGTTAGAAACATCGGATCGCAAATTGTTCAATTTTTTTTTTTCCAATGTTATATCACAAGAACTCTATTTTAAAACAGTGTATTTAAATACTGTGGTCGAAAACTTCTAATTTGCTTTGATTGAACTCGAGTTTCATGAAAACCTAGGATACAAGGCAATGGACTTGATGTGAATGCAAACGTAATGACATGGGATAAACTAGGGGCACATGTTGGTTTAATTGGGGTATGGCATGCACGTTGAATAGCTTGATTTGGAAAATAAAAGTTTGAACACTAAGCGGTCTGCTTGATTTAGAAAATAAATTGAATAATTTTTGGGCAGCTTATTTTTGACAAAAAATTTGGACAGTCGGTGATTTGATGTTTCTAATATCACACCGAAGGTAAAACACTAAAAATAAATAAAAAATACTCAAGGGGACCTCCGCAGATAAAGGGATGGGGGGTTAAAAGCAATGGGCAAACTTGTCAGGAAAAAAAAACAACAAAAATTCCGTCCTTTTAGGTAATAGCAGCCTATTTTTTGGCCATTTCATTATAACGGATTAATAATCCGGTTCGTACGTACATTTCCCTCTAATATTTAAATCTCGAACATGTTCTTGCAATTTTATACTTCGTTCTTTTTTTCTTTTTTTTGTTTGTTTAGTGTGTTACAAAATTATACTTAGTATTTAGAATTAAGATACTAAATTATGGATTATAGACTGGTTCCGACACTTGTTACTTTTGAATAAATTAGAGTTTACATTATAGCTATGTAACATGTTACAATATTTTTTCGTATCTCAACACTACAAAGACGCAACGGTTGTGTCGAGCACATTAAAAACCTTAACACTTTTTCTTGACAATCTTGCTATAAAGTACTTAATATCACATAATCAGTCATCGCCATTTCTTTAATCAAATGGTGTAGAGAATTTTGAAGATTAGCACTCTGACACTCGTATCCAGTGTTTAAAAAAATGTCGAGTCGAACCGACTATGCCGGTTCTGGCATAAAATCGGGAACCGCCCGCTTCTAGAGCAAAACCGTCGGTTTCCACCCGATTTTAGCGATTCCTACACGGTTCTAGCCGTCACATATGCCACACACAAACTCCCACACACATGCACCAGCTCACGCCTCACATGAGTGACATGTGGCCATCGCACAAAAGTGACACGTGGCCACACATGGCAACTCATCTCACATTTGCCTCCATCACGTTTCTACACGCGCAACAAAAAATCTAATACACATGACTTCATAGAAAACCAAGCAACACTTATCCTTCAATGTAGGATAATTCCCACAAAAAATCATTAAAGCAATATCATTGAATATATATTATCATGGAAGCTAAAAAAATCAGATGTGGTGATGTGGCTATGTTGGTTGACAACATTGAATTTTGGATGTATGTCTTGAGTTCGTACCCCATAGCAAACACCAAAAAGTATTTTGAGTTCGAACCCCTTAGTGCACAACAAAAAGTATTTTCAGTTCGAACCCCTTAGCGCACAGCAAAACAAAATTTTAACAAAGGTTGAAAATACTGTTGTAAAAAAATAGGAAAAATATAAAATAAAAGGCTCTTAAAGATAAAGATAAAAAAGATAATACAACATTCTTTTATTTTTCTTGTAAAAAAAATACAATTTGTTGTCAAAAAAATAAACAAAGGCAAAAAATACTGTTGTAAAAAAATATAAAAAATATAAAATAAAAGGCTTTTCAAGATAAAGATAAAAAAGATAATACAATAATTTTTTATTTTTCTTGTAAAAAAAAATACAAGGTAATATAACAAGTATTTATTGCAAATAAAATAAAACAAAAGGCATAAAAAAATAAAATGTACTTTGACAACATCATTTTTTTATTTTTCTTGTAAAAAAAAATAAAAAGTAATACAACAAGCAAAAAAAAAAATGTAGTACAACATAGTCTTCTTTTGTCAAAAAAAAAAAAACAAAGATAATCAACAAGTATCATATTTTTCTTGTAAAAAAAAATAAACGATAACACAATAAGTATTTATTGTCAAAAAAATAAAAAGTATTTTCTTCATACAACCTAGGAATAAATGGTCTAATTATATTTTTTATTTTTATAACAAGATGGTCTTTAACATAAATTTAGTAATATTAATTTAAAGATAGGATTCATACAATGAGACCATTTGAAATCTCTCTCTTTCTGCTAACAATCTCTTCCACTAATTTATTCTAGAAACCTAAAAAATTAAAGAAAATTGGTACGCATTCTAATAATTTCTACATTGATAACCAAATCTTTTATTTTATCTTTTAATTTTTGTATTATAAATCATAGTGTACTATTTTTCTTACAGTTGTCAATAATACATTTTAAATTAGATGATATTATAAAATATTTTGGATTTGTTATTATTTAAATAATAAAATAATTATAAAATATTGTTGGTATATAATATTATAGTTAGTTAGGTTGTAATAATTTGGGTTTTTTTAACGGATTAGGGTTTTTCACCAATTCGATATTTTAGTGGCCAAATTTCATCGATTTAGTCAACTTTTTATTGTAGTCCATATATGATTATACTTAATTCATGATAATTCTATGATTTCTTTTGTGTGATGTAAATTTAATGGTCAACATAAGTCTATACAGGGAAAAAGCATATCAATATTCACAAATTGATGAAAAAAATAAAAGTTAATAATGTAATACCCTCATTTCTTATTAGATTATTAAAAAACAACATTTATAATAAATTTTAATAATTTTTGCAGATTTTTTTGAAGCTTTAATCCGACCGATTCAGCCGATTCTCGATCCTGATCATTAATTCGCCAATCCGGATCGGTTTTTTAAGGTGCCCGATCATGGTCACCGATCCGCTTTTTAAACCATTGCCTGTATCTATATGTCATCGTGCTTATGCACCTGTTTGTGTTTTTGTAAGGCCCTCACCAACCGACTGGCTACTTTCTGTATTTCATGATCAACGCGCAAATCACAAGAGATGGTATATGCATGTATTTGTTGGAGTTGTATCCAATCATGCCGTCTACTTTGGCAACCAAATATATTCATCTCATTAACATTCAATACATATGTGTGTGTATACACTCATCTTATGTGAATTTCAGTTTTTTTGCTATCTTTTCCTCATGATGGAGTTAAAATATCACTACTATAAGCAAACCAAGTTAAATCCAAATTTGTTACAATGTACAATATCAGAAGGTGGGACGAAAGGACACACATGACATTCATTGCTCATTACATCATGAGAAGAGGGAAAAGAAAATACAAAAAAAATAAATAAATCAAAAATACAATTATGGACACTCAATCCCCAAAAAAATGATAAAATCAGCCTTTTCAAACTCTTCGCGCTGAGGACAATATTTTTTGGTCTAATTCAATAAGAATCAACTTCGACGCTCATTCCATTGTCTAATTCAATAAGAATCAACTTCGATGCTCATTCCAATGTCTTCCCTTATGAAAAGAGGCCTGAACCATCCCCGAAAAGAGCAGCGTCTCATTACCTCTTCCTTTTCAGTTAACAATTGGTCGTTCATAGCTATCCCCTGGAGGAAAGAAGTCAAGCCAGTGGGCTTCTTTAAATTATTCTCTGAAGAAAGTCTAATTGGTATCACTCGCATTGAATCAGAATTCCACACGCATACATAGATTCATGCATGGGTACGCACATACTGCGCATGCAAACACATATGCACCCATACTCATACATCATGCGTATGACTCATGCACGTATATCAAGCATTCAGGTGCATATATCACTTGCACATGAACATGAATGTAAATAAGTGTGTGAGTCAAGGTTCTAAAAATCGGATCGGATGGGCTGATTTTCCTGGTTCAACTCGGAACTGGTGAGTGACTGGTCCAAGTTTCTCACTAAATCGGAACTTGTACCTACTCACCCCAAAATCATATTTGTTTAATGCAAAAAAATATATTTTTAGAATGATTTGAGGTACCTAAACTTTGTCTAAACTTTAAAGTTCGGTAACTTTATTTTTTTAGGAGAAGTTGGCTGAGTCAAGTAAGTCAACTTGTCAATTCAGCTGGTTCGTCTTGGAACGAACAGGGGACCGTTTCGACCCTTCCAATCATTTAAAACTGGTGTGAGTACAATGTCTGTATGCATCATGCACATGCATGATAGCAGGCTTATCCAACCATTATTTCCACCATTCACACCTTGCTACAGCAGGGCAATAGGGCAAAATCCCAACAACAGCATGCATAAATGGATTGTAACTACCAGGACACGTACAGAGGACACTTCTATGATAGACTCTAAATTCCATAATTCGGAATTCTCCATTTAAAGCTGACTGAAAAACTTTGGCAATATCACAAACAAAAGTACAAAGAAGTCTAAAGATTCTAACAGTAAAAGTATTGAATTGTGGTTTATCTTAATCCAATTTGACCGACTGTAAAGTAAGATTCTTCACACCCCAAATGTCACCATGGAAATGATCATAAATTGCTAATAAGGTATTCTTTCATGGGAAGTGATCATGAATTGCCTGTGCAATGGCTGATTCTTTTACGTTTGTCAGATATATAACTGGCTTTATGTTGTCTTTTTGTGGTTCCATTGGGCTAGCAAGCTGTGAATACTGAAGGAATTAATAAATGAGTGAAGTGGAAGAAGTGAAAACATTACAGTAAATTAAGGCAAAACTTGCAGACAATCTCCCGAGTACAAGTTTCTATCCGAGCTGCTTCTGATTGTGGCCACTGCGTTAAAAGAGTGGGGTTTCTTAAGCAACTCCCATTGAAATGATGAGCGGATTAAGTTAATCAAGCCATGAATACAAGGTTAAAATGCCCACAAATCCTTGAAAGTGAAGAAGAAAAAAGGAGACCACTAATTAGATGTTTTTGGTCTAATCTATACTTTCAAAAAGGAGACCACTATCACGGAAATGAGATGTCTTCTAGGTTAGTCATGGATAGGATGCATCGTACACTTCAAAAAAAAGACATTAACTATTTTAAAATGATGAAATAGCATACCCAACACAAAAGAACAGTAAAGTTTCTAGAGAAAAGAAGGGATGAGAGAAACTGGGGCAGGAGATACCTACCTTAGCACTTCTTGCTCCCATACCAAATGGTCCAAATCAATGAAGAGAGCCCAAATGAGGACACTTGAGAATAAGATATGATAAAAGACATATAAGGGTTGGATTTTAGTCTTTTAAAAGAATTTTTCCCTTTAGTTTTATAGCAAGTTCTCTTTTTTAGTAATAGAGAAACAATGTGATACAAGTTGGCCCACATTTTATTGCTCCACAACTTTCCTAAGACTCGAAAGTCTTGAATAATTCTTTTCACAGTAAATTGAATTTTCTTTTCAATTTGTCACATCTGCTTCCACAAACTACATAGAGTTTTGGGTGTATTTCCAACCCTGTTTCAAAACCATGACTTAAAAAGGTTTCAGTTCAAAATATAGATCTCTTGATTGGTGGGGTTGTTGGTATTTGTGATGATAACAGAGTTTGCATATGACTACAAATTGCTTTGAGAACAAAGTTCAGTTGACTTTTGAATGAAATGTAAGCATGCAAGGTTTCCAATAAGTCAGCTGACATAAATTCCATTGTCTAAAAAAAAAAGAGTCATTTAGGAAAAAAGACAAGACTTAAAGAGAAAAGTCATAAAGGCCATTCAACTCTCGAATTAGGTATTAGAGCGATATTTTCACTTCATGCTTACATGACATGACCCACATCTTGCAAAACCGTTCAATGAATTCTCATGGAGAAGCAACAAAATCAACAGAGTCAGGTGTTTCAAAAAATAAGTGGCAGGGGTTTAGAAAGTGTTACCATAGTGATTATCTGCCGTAGAAGATCCCCTAGCAAAACCATGTATGTTTTACTTCTGCATTCCTCTTAAGCCCCTCAAGTGTTGACCAACCTCTTGAATGAGATTTATCCCTGTATTTCCTTTCCTCAGGGAATTAACAATGTGCAGCAGAAATTCACGGTCCTCTTCAATGGCTTCCAACCTCGCTCTCAATGTCTTCACTTCACTCTCAATGGTTCCCAAATCATTCTCTCTCTTAACATTATTTTCCGGAGTACTAGTGTCCACAACACTGGTATATGAGTACAGCCTCTTCTCCAAGTTTTCCAGGCATTCTAAGATGTGCAATCTTTCATCTTCCGGATCTACAAATGTTTCCTCTAAGATACCCATTTTATTCCCTTTGCTTTCTCTTACTTCCCCGTCTTTTTGCTCTTTCCTGTACATTTTGACCTCTTCCTCAAGATCTTTCATTTCCTTCTCTCTCTTATCAAGAAGATCATTCAATTTCTGCAATGCTTCTTGGTCATATTCTGCTTGCTCCTCCATCATTCTCTGGTATTGCTGAGACTCCATTTGCATCATCGCTTTCTCCTCCTGCAACCGAGTAATCATGGCCATCGCCTGGTTCACTGAGATAGCAGATGCACTCCGCTCTTCTTCGAGTTCTCTATACAAAGCACGCATGGACTTTCGATCGAATTCAACTTGCCTTTTCAGGCGATCCACCCCACTTTCGCCTTCAATTTCACTCAGAACACTACCATCCAGTGACTCCATGCCTGATTCCTTTCTATCCATAGAAATCTTCTTGTAAAGCTTATGAAGATCAATTGGACTAGATGCACCAGCAAGCCTAAAAGCTTCATTGGTCTTCTGGGTTCTTGGACTATCAGCGGGTAAAAACTCAAGGCCACGAAAAGATGGTAGGGGAGATAATAACAATTTCAGATCATCTTGAATTCGACTTGGGTCTTTTCCAATAGGTGGGCTGCCCTTACTTCCTATAGCCAGAATGTATGCCTCATTTAGGTCCAAAGTCGTAGACCCAGAAGGACCAGGCTCACCTATTCCCCTTCTTGATATCAAGTTCGAATCAGTTCGAATGAGCGCTTCTTTGGCTTTGATGGTTCCACCCTTGCTACCCGAAGATTCTCCATTTGTATCATGATGAAAGCACTCTGCTTTGTCGATATACTTAGCACCCACTTTATCAAAGTGCAACAAATAGAGTATAAGAGTAAGGTTAATGGAACAGTTAAAATTATGACAGAAAGAAACAAGCAGCTTTAGCTTAATCACATGGCTTTGTCCAGGCAACCTTGACCTACATACCAAAAAACAAAAAGAAAATAAAAAAAAACATTTAATTTTGTAGAACTTATAGAACGAAAGTACAATTCAAACTCACTCTTTTGTTTGGCTTCTTTCGAAACATTGCCTCGGTCATGCTCCTCTGAATCAAGTCCAACTAGAACAGCTTCCTTTGTCTCTTCCATAGAAGTCCTTTCCATACTGAGGTTATCATCTGAACCATTATTTTCATCATAAGGCAAGCTTGTTCTCCTAAACCCTAATGGCTTGTCTGAAACCAACAAAGGAGCCTCAGATAAAGGAACTGAATTCTGTCTGCTCAGGCTCTGCAGAATGGGTCGAGGATTTCCAGATTTAGGTCTAGAAGTGATTATATTTGACATAACAGCTGAAGCACTAATATCATCCTTGTCTGAGAAAGGAACTTCTGATTCTGAATCAGATGTAATGTTCAGTCTTTCATATCTGAAATGTGAAGAGTCGGACCCAAACTTCGTGGCATACCCAGCAATTTGGGATGATTCATATCCCTCTCTCTTTTTCTTATTCAAATTCTCTTGTTGGGTTCCATGACCATCGTCTAAGGAGTCAGATATTCTCCTTAAAGTCACCCCACAACAAGAACAATTTCTCATTTCATTAGAATCATCTGCAGAATTCTCAATTAAGGGATCATGATCCAGGTCATCAACATGCACATCCATGGAAAATCCATCGTAATCAACGTCATCATTAGTTGCAGCCAATTTTAGCATATTTCTGCGATCACCTGTATCGCGTCCGATGCCCAATTTAGAGGAGATAGAACCCTTCCCGATTTGAGAGGGAGGAAGGCAATTCCCACATATTTTCTGGACATTTGCTAGTTTTTCATGGACGTGGCAGTAGGCGAGAGAGGATATCTCCAAACCATGGAAGTGGCAGATCAACTTTCTGTAAAAACCAGGTTCATGGCTCCCTATTTTGTGATCAATTCTTGAGCATAATAGACATGGAGTTTGCAATCCAAAGAAATCAGCAAATTCGGTCACGACATAAGAGAGCACAGCATTGAGGAATAACAAGAGTATTAAGAACCATTCAAGAATCGCATAGACCAGTAAGGAACTGAAATTTCGAGAGTAAGCTTGGCATGATACGGAAGCCCCCGACATAGCTAGTTTTCTATGTTTGAATTGGTTATGGAGATCCAAATTGATAATTTCAGAAACAGAATGAATTGTATCAAACCAGAAGTCAATTGATGTAGAATTCAATAAAATTCATGGCATCTGATCGAAATTCATGATATAACACAGGAATATCTCTCATGTGGAATATTGGCATCTGATCGAAATTCATGATATAACAGAGGAATATCTCTCATGTGGAATATTCTAACAAAACCCATTTATATCTTTTCATTTAAGTCAACAGAAAATTTGGCCCAAAAAAAAAGGTTATCGAACAAAAGAGGAAACTGGGACCCAAGCCTAAAGATTTTTTTTTGAATGATAGGGGCCCAAGCTAAAGATTCCATATTTACTTTTCACCATGAAAGACAAAGAACAAAACAATATCACCAAATTAATAAAGCAAAAAACATGTAATTCACTAAATTATTGAATAACAAAACCAAACTGGGAATAAAGAATTTTGCAAAGCCAGAGGACTCACCTCATCGACAGAGAGAGTATAGAGATATCAAATCATAAATCTATGAAAAACTCCAGTTTTTGTTCCACTTGCTTCATTGTGGAAATAAAGAAAACCAGAAATACAGTTAAAGACAAAATTTTAAGAAAGAGAACAAGATCAGATGAAAAAGGTGGTAGTTAACCAATGATAAGGAATAAAACTAATCAGAAAGATCTGCCCCACTGATCAAAAGCAAAGTTGAGAATAAAGAGTCGGCAGCAAAGTGTCAAATAAAATTGCAGATCCAGTTATTAAATAACGCATTAGGGATTATAATAAAACACCTAGAATTAAGAGGGAAAAGGGGGGTTAGAGAGAGAGAGAGAGAGGTGGTGAATACATAAGAACGAGGTGATTGAAGTGGGGATCATGCACAAATAATGTGATCATTTCCTTTCAAATTTTGAAACAAATATCTTCCATGTGAAATGTATTGAAGCCCACCAAGCTGGCACCCTGAAAATATGTTCTTGAAAATTTCGAGGAGAGAGAGAACTGAGGGCTCGTGGGAGAGAACTTTGGGGGGCATATGAGAGATGGTTAGCGGTGAACAAGCTTTATTTCCAGAATAAGTTTTCATCTGTGTATTTATTTTTTTATTTTTATTTTTTTTAAGGGTGTGATTTGTATAATGTTGCAACTTCAAACAATCAAAGGTGCACCTCCAAACTTTGTCATGTTATGTGATTTTGGTGTAAAAAAATCTCAAAGAAAGTTAAAACTCAAAAAATAGCTCCAAATCAAGCAAATTTATAAACACGTGAAAATGTTGCAAATGAACCATTCAGATAATATATTTTAAGATGAACTACTTTTAGAACTTAAAATCTTTAATTTTCTCGATATCCATGCATTTCGATGCCAAGATGATAAATTTGATGTTCTCAAAAGATTTTAGAAATAAACCTTAATTATACATTAACATGTCAATCTTATATAAACTTTTCCTTCTTCTTTTTTAACTATAAAGTAAGGGATGACGAGATTTACTCCTTACATTGGACATCAATTATTCGAAATTATTAGAGAGGTTGCATTTTTAAATAAGAATATATCGAAAATTAATTGTCAAAAACTCAAATGGGCCCTTAGACTTAAGTTTGATTCCGACTACCAAACTGCCCTAAAAGAATATGGACCCCCAGAAAAAAAAAAATTTCCTATCTTGTTGAAAATTATATTTTTTTTACATGGGGTTACCAAGTCCATTGTGACATTAAGTGAAGGATTTTGTCTAGAGACCATAAAACCCTAAAAAGAGTACCTTGTTCTTCCACTCCTAGTTTTGAGGGCAAGCCCATTGGTGCTTGCCATGAGGGCTAAAGTTGACATGCAATGGTGAGGCTTGGGCCTTCAAGTACTGTTTACTTGTTCATCCCCCCAAAAAACCAAAAAAAAATGTGTACTCAAGTGGTACTTGCCTGCTAAAAGCTTAAGGCAACTCTGATTTTATATAAAATTTTTTTTTTGCTTGCCCTGGCCCTTTCTCCATCCGAAGGGAGGCAAAGCTGGGGGACCTGGTCCATCCCAACTTGGGGTGCTGGGGCCTTTGATGATTTTCTGAAAGAAATAATTTATGTTTCGTTTCAACTTTACACTATAGAAGTGGGGTGCATCTAAAACCCCCTCGAAAAGCGATTTGTTCCGATCGTCATTTGAAAAACCGTTTATTTCGGTTCAATTTTGTAAACACTAGTTCCAATTTAATGAGACAATTTACTTTTGATATAAAGTAATCACAATTAATCTTAATTGTGGGACGTTATTGGGTGTTTGCATTTATTTTATTGACCAAGCTCAAAATTTAAAAAGAAATTTTATTGAACTTTACAACACACCCAAGCTATCAGATTTCATATTGAATGATTATAAACAATTGTGGCCTCCTTGTATCAAGATAGATAGCATACAATTGCGGCTTTATACAATTGTAGCCTCCTTGTATCTATTTAAAATTAGATGTGAAAACAAATTCTCAGACAGTAAAAAGTTTCCACCGCCAAAATTGTTTCTTCCGGTGGGTGGTAATAACTCACTTAGATTACCGCATGAGGGTTACAATCACACTAACAACCAGAGTGGTGACAACTCGTCCTAGTAGTGAGCTCATGACCACATTGAACCATGCATTGGGGAGTAGAGCTAGTATTGAAGATAAAGTCTATTGTGAAGGGTTATCATGCGATAAAATAGGGAAAAAGAATATCATAAAGACAATTGTGAAGGTTTATCATGTGATAAAATAGGGAGAAATAATATTACAATAAAAGCATGTATATTATGTTCCCTTGGGAACATAGTTTACTTTTATTCTTTTGGTCAAATAACTTATTTTGCAGGATTTGTTCAATCTGAAATTTTGTTAACCGCCTTATAATTATTAGATGGTTGTTCTTAAATCATTTTTTTGAAAAAATTTGAGTTTCCTACCCTCTAAAAATTAGATAATTTCTATTCAATGTTGAGACATTATTATTTTTAAGTGCTTAGGGGATGCAATTAGAATTTCTTTTTATTGATGTTAACCTATATGTCAAATAGGTTATATCCCCAAAGCTAATCCTACTTGGGGTTTTGGAATAAATAGATAGCATACTCCCAAGATAGCGGTATATCTTTCGGCTTACAACAAAGCACATTGACATAAAAAAGTACGGACGAGAACGAAATTAGGCCTTTGATGGGTGTTCTTGCCAATGTTGTTGAGAACTGGACCTGACCGGCTGTTTCGAATCTAAAACCTGTGAACTCGTTGCTAGACCCGCGTATCTGGTGTATTGAACTGGATGGTCTATTGGACTAGCCATGTATCACTCACCGGACGGTCCATACTAGACTGAACCGTCCATGGATCTGTGTCCGGTTTAATGCCGAACGGGCTGTGGCCTTTACTTTTACTGAAAATATTACTCTCTATAATCTTTTATTTGGTCTTTTTTGAATCATTCAGGGGTTGTTTTAACGAATTTGTAGAGAGTTTATTCACTAATTTTCAGATATATTGGAGGGAGCGATTGGTTTGGGAAATTCTCTGTACAAAAACTCTACAGTTCCTAGGGCGTTTCTTATGCGATTTTCCTTGGCTAATCGCCTTAGCAAATCGGGCCATCATTTGGCGCTCTTTTTGAAGTTCAAGTAAGTGTTTTCAATCCCCATGTTAATTGCTTGATTTATTGTTGGAAAAAATTCGGTTGATTTATGGTTGGAAAAAATTAGGAAAAATTCGGTATTATTGGGTTTTGCAATAATCTTACTATGAGCCTTGAATCTTCTTGATTTGTGATCATTAAATCTCAATTCAATATCTATTATATGGGATAGTTTTTTCATAGTTATTTATGTGTGAAAATACTTTTCTTAGGTTTTTTCATAATTTTTTTTTTCTTTTGTTGGTTTTTACGAGCTCTTTTTTTTGTTCTGTCTAGAAGTCATTTAGGTTTCCACCAAGCAAGATTTTTATTTTTTTTGTAATAGTTGAACGAACTTTTGTTTCTAATAATTGAACAAACTTTGAAGTTGATAGTGTTACTTTATTAGAGACGTTTTGATTTGGGGATTTGGATGGGTCCTTTAATATCAGGGATATTTTCTATTTATGCTTTTATGTGATTTATTATTGTGATTTTTCAAAATAGTAATACCCACTGTTTTGTTGAAGCGTATTTTCTGTTTATACGAAAGGTGTTATGGACTTATGGTATTCTCCGTCATGGAAGCGTATTTTCTCTCTATACAATTTGGGGTTCGTTCATAAATTCTAGTGTTTATAGATAGACCTTCCTTTCTTGTTGAAGCTCAGAGTAATTATCTGTAATTTGCAGTCGAAATCAAATTGTAGAATACCTAATTCTGCTATAAGATGCTCTCTGGTGTAAAGTTCATCCCTCGAGATCATCTCCACAATGTGAGTTTTTTTTATCCACTTGTGTAGAGTCCTTCTCTTTCTGATGCTAATTTTCTTTTTCTCAGTTATGGTGGTTTCTATATGTGTGGTTTATTGAGAACCTGTAAAAAAAAATTGAATCTCATGTTCTTAGGTTCAAGAGAAGCGTGATTTGGATTCTTCTCCAAAAGCAAGAAACAAAGCCAAAAAAGAAGAGAAAAAGCATAGAAAGAAGAAGAAGAAATCTCACCATGATAGCTCAAGTGATGAAGAGAGGTGGAGGAAGAGATCAAGAAGGAAAAAGGCACGTTATTCATCAGAGGAGTCTTTATCGTCTCTCTTTGGAAGTGATGGAGAGAGCTCTAGTGATGAGAGAGAAAATAATCATAAGAAAAGTAGAAAAGGTTCCGAGGCTAGCGAAGGTGCATATGCATCTGGTGTGTTCTCTCGCTACTGTTGTTTTTTTGGAATTATTAACTGTCTTGTAAAACCATGAATCTAATACAACAAAGTTATTGCTGTTGTATAGATGATAGTAGGGAAATTCTCTCTCTAGAAGACATGGGGATTGCCAGAAAAGAAATGGGACTAGAATGGATGTTGAGACCTGCTCAAAAACCAGATTTGAGACCACCCACTAAAACTGATAGTCCTCCCGATGAACCTGACATTGATGAGGTAAATGAATTCACTTATAATATATAAGACAAGTATGGAAATAGAGATATTTGAGTATATAATTGCAGCCATGTTTAGTAATAGTTCTCAGGATCTCACACTGGTATCTATGTCCTTTTCGACAATTTTAGATAGCTGTGCACAAGATATAGGTTGGTACTTAAATAAGCCACCCAATCCTATAGCAAATTTATGTGTCTTTTGAATCTACTTCTTCTCAAGCTACCACCTTCCAAACAATTTAATATTGTTTTCTTATAAAGATTCCAAGAATCATGTGATTTCTTGTCATGAATTTTAAATTATCGTTTATCACATAATGTTTAATACATATTTGCATGGCCATCCCAATTAATCTCTCTTATGTTATGATTTTATCATAACTTCTTCTGAAAAGTTGTGCTATTACTTCAAAGACCTTAATCTTTTCAGGTTTTGCACTTATATATGTTCTAAAGAATTCTTTTTTTTTTTGGGTAAATCAGTGGGGGTCAGGCCCCCCTACCTGTTTTAATTAACAAATACAAGAAAATATTGGGGATACATCAATATACAGCCTAGCATAGGGAATTTGAACTACATTGTAAGGAAGCAGTAAAGTTAAAAAATCTAGTGGGCAGGCTCTCCACACAGTGGCTTCTGAAAAGCCGGCGTCTTTCTTAGCTCGAGAGTCTGTGACCATGTTCGATTCCCGATAGGCATGTGAGATAGTCCATTCATAGCTAGAGGAGGATAGTTTGTAGAGACAATTGGTGGCAAGGTTATGTAGTCTCCATGGGACCTTAAATCTGCCACACATCGTCTCTACGAGAATCTGGGAGTCGCTCTAGATGAATAGAGGGAAGCAGTGTAGTTGAATGGCCAAATCGACCCGATTCTAGTGCTTTAAACTTTGCAAAGTTGTTGGAAGCAGTACTGAGTAGTTTAGCAAAGGCAGCAATAAAGCGGCCTGTGTCATTTCTGAGTATTCGCCTTTGCCTGCAGCACCAGCATTTTGAAAGGAGGCCTTGTCGATGTTTAATTTGAAGGAACCATAAGGGGGGAAGGACCATGAAATGTATTGTGCTTCCGGGTTTTTGCAAGCGCCATGGGATCTTCATATTATGTAGATTTGATTGTTTGGATGGGTCGAATGACCAAAATTTAGCAATGGCAAGGTCTTTGACAATGATATAGGCAACTAGGGAATCGCGCTTTGAACACTTCCCTTCGGAAATCCGTCTATTGTGTCTAGTGAAGAGGGCAAACATTGTGTAGTCCAGTCAATTTAACGAGAATTTTATCCACTTTCCAAACATGAATGGATCGGACTGTTTTGGGGGCCATGAGTTTTCTGCATCTCCAGAGAACCTGTAAAAAACACATTGTGATAATAAATGGTTGGCATTTTCGTCTTCCCGAAGACAGAGGGCATCTGGAGACCAAGGTGAACCCTTGAGACTAGAGGTAGGTCATAGTGGGGAGGCTCTGGTGTAGAGACAACCAAGAGAACCACTTGGACCTTGTGTGAGATTGGGAGGACCATAGGGCTTTGAAAATGGGTTGTGTTCCTCCTGCATCTTGTCTGTTCCCAGGTGCTCTTCACAGTAAAGTGATTATTTGGGAGAATAGATGCAAACCAAAAAACTCGTCCTCAAGTTTCATAAAGGAATTATTTTGCTCCTAGGCATGTACAAGAGGGCTTGAGAAGGGATGAGACATGACTTGCATAGGTGGAGTGCCTTGTAGGTAGTTGGCAACCTTATGTTCGGTGAGCCTGCCTAGATCTTGATGAATATCTATGCCAAAGGAGTCCTAAATACTTTTTTTCAGAAAGCCACGGGTCGGCCTAAAAATCCCATGAGGCACCATTGCTTATAATCCTTCTCACATGGTACCGCTGCTTATTGATACCCGTCCTAATGCCTTTCCGCGAGTAAGAAGATGCTTTAATTTTAGCATACCCAATTGATGAATTCTAGAAATATCTATATTCCTCACAAAAAAATTCTAGAAATATCTGTGCTTAAAGAAGGGAGCAAAAAAAGAGGAGGGATTCACAATTATTCTCTAGGCCAATGTCATCATCCCGGCCATGTTATAGTTGGCAATAAGATGGATCCCCAAACCTCCTTGTATTTGAGGCTAACAGTATTCCGTTAACCAGGTGGAACCCCTTTTGTTTTGATAAGCTCGTCCACAGGAACTTGTGCTGCATGACAATTGCTAATTGGAAGTGGAAAGGATAGAATCTAGTAGATGGAAGATGTGTTGAGGATGAACTTGAGCAATTGGAGGTGGTCAACGAATGACAGGAATAGGGCCTGCTTTTAGCCAATTTTTTAAATGGTTTTGGCAATGAGACTATGGCAAAGAGAATGCTTAAGAGAGCCTTGAAATAAAGGTAAACCTAAATATTTCAGCGGAAGGGCCCCTTCACCAAATTTGAGGATGTCTCAAATCCTAGATTTCAAGTTGTTATTCGCCCCAAAGAAGAGAATTTTGCTTTTGGCAACATTCGGCTGTTGACTATGGAATTGCTGAAGGATTCTATAATGACTTTCACAGTTTGGCAGATTGGGTGGAAGCCTCACAAAAGCCTAAGGCATCATCTGCATATAACAAATGAGAGACCCCATAATCACAACTCTAGGGGAAGGCTTTTGGTAGAAATCCATTGGAGGTTGCTTCTCCTAGTCGCCGGCTAAGGAAATCCATGACTAGAAGAAAAAGGTATGACGATAGAGGGTCACCCTAACCTAGACCTCTATTCCCCTTGAAAAAGCCTTTGGGGGACTTGTTATGAAGCACCAAAAAACGGGAGGTAGAAATGCAGTGACGAGCCCAGGGCACAAAAACTTGAGGAAAGCCCAAAGCCTCTAACCTGTCAAGAATAAACCTCCAGGATACCTAGTTTTAGGTGCCACTCAGATCAAGCTGTAGACACATCTTAGGTTTGGCTGCATACCGGTGACATAGAGAGAATTTCATTGGCCATGAGGATATTGTTTGAAATGATTTTGCCCTTGAGGAATGCTGTCTGGCAAGGATGAATGAGATTCTTCAAGAAATTTTGTAGTCTATTGGCAATAATATTGTTGGTTATTTTATAGAGCACATTGCATAGGCCAATTGGTCTGAAATCCTTCATAAGGCTAGGAGACTTGACATCAGGAATGAGATAGATAAATGTCGAATTGATCTTGACTTTAGGAATGAGATAGATAAATGTCAAATTGATGTCGTTTAAAAATTTACCCCTTTTGAAGAAATCAAAAAGAGCAAGGCCAAGGTCTCTCTTGTTAACTTCCCAACTGAATTTGTAAAATTTAATGGCAAAACTATCAGGACCAGGTGCGCTTTCACTCCTTCCCATATGCTGAGCGTTCCTTCTTTTGAGAATCTGAGAGCTTTGATTCTGGTAGAAAATCATGCATCAAAGAACGAGATGTTTCAGAAGGCCATGTAAATCTGTTGTTAGTGTGGCAATATTGCTGTGCATGTGTTTTCTCTTTTGAGATCAGGATCTACAGAGAGGTCGCGACTTAGTCTCTGTGATGGCAGCGTGGCGATGCTCAAATGCGGTAATGTGGTGTTGCCCTAATATATTCAAGCGTGTGAATGTGACCAGATATAAATGATAAGTATCTCTGTCCTCTCTATGTGGTTTCTAACATTGTACTAGGCTTGCCTGTCCTTGTTGCCCTCTTTCCCTTTATTTTATATACTCATGAATAAGGAAATTGAAATACTTGACTGAGGACAAGCATAGTGAATTTGATAAATGATATGAAGAATGGATGAAGGAGAATTATATAATCATGACCTGGTTATAGAGTCGTACGGAACCCCAACTAAGTGCCAATGAGCTGTTTGAGGAAATGTTTCAATTGCAATAGGGCAATAAGAGTGTGGGAGGAGCTGAACCTATATCAACCTATATCTTGTGATTTGGAATTACAGAAGAGGCAGCTTGAAGAATTTAGGGTTACCAATTTTTTCTCTGGCATTAATCTTGAGTACCATTTGGTACATGGACAGGTCTTGGCAATTAGTGAACTCCCATCTCTCACAAATGTTTACTCATGCATTTAATGAGTCAATATATCTGCTTCTCCCACCCCTTTTGACTGAAGTATTAATGATGGATCGGTCTTGACCCTTGAATACAATAGTAGGGAGAGATTATGGAGATAGAGGTCAAGGACGTGGTTGTGACTTAGGTTGAGGTCGAGGTGATGGTGGTAGGGCATGTGGAACACGCAAGTGTACATCTTGTAGGCATTACAAATCATACGGATGATAAGTGTTGGGACAAGGTTGGTACACCTCCTTGGGCAAACCAAGCTACTCACATATCCGAGAGTGATAACCATTATCTGAATAGACCCAGTGATCGCCAAGAACAGTAGGATACTACTGGTGAATTTGTTGTGCTTTCCAAAAGAAAATATAACAAACGTGTTGAACAAGTACATAGGTCTATGGTTCCCTCTTTCTCTTCTACTACCTCCTTGCCAATTGAGGTTCTTTTGTGCTTCTTGCTCTTAAAAACCTATTCCCTGGCTTATTGACTCAAGAGTCTATGATCAAATGACTGTTGAGTCCTCTTTTTTTGTATCTCCAAATAAGTGTATTCCTAACTCCTTTGCTGCATGGCTGATGGATCACTCTCCAAATGTGTTAGGGTAGGATATAATTATACCTACTTCTTGCCTTTCTCTGTCATCTGTACGATACGTACCAAAGTTCTTGTTCAGTTTATTATCTGTGAGCAAATTAACCAAATCTCTTCATTGCTCTATAACCTTCTATTCTCCTTCTTGTGTCTTTCAGAATCTAAAGGCGAAGAGGACTATTGGTGGCGGATATGAGTCAAATGGCCTTTACTACTTGGATCATAGCCTAATTAGTGCTGCTTTTCACTCTACTGGTTCTCCTTTCTTTTGGCATTGTCAGCTTGTTTATCCTTCTCTCAAGAACTTGAAGTTGCTAGTTCATTATTGGGAGTTTGTATCTGCTTCAAAGTGTGAAGCAAGCTTGTTAATTGGGAAAGCAACATAGGTTGTCATTTCGTCTAAGACTTGTTCCGTTTACAGTGGTTCATATATATGGGGTCCAACTAGAGTACAAAGTTTGTCTTGTCATAGGTATTTTCTAACTTTTGTGGATGATTGTTCACGAAAGACGTGGTTCAATTTAGAAAAAGAGAGAGAAGAGATTTTCACCATTTTTAGATTGTTTCACAAAGAGATCCAAACTCATTTCAATAAGAATGTGTATTTTACGTTCTGATAATGCTAAAGAGTATCTTTATTGAGAATTTCAGAATTATTTTTCTCAAAATGGGATTTTACACCAAACCTCTTGTGCGCATACTCCTCAACAGAATGGGGTTGCTAAAAGGAAAAATCAACAATTGAAGTAACCCATTCTTTGCTCATTAATATGCATGTTCCAAAGGTTTATTAGGGAGATGCCTTGCTAACGACATGCTATTTTATTAATCATATGCTCTCTTCAGTCTTGAATAGAAAAACACCACATTTGGTTCTCTTTCCTGATGCTCATCTGTTTGTTGTTCCTCCTCAAGTGTTTGGGTGTATTTACTTTTGTTGATAGGTTAGGTACTGTAAATGATTAGCTCTATCGCGGGGCTGTCAAGTATGTCTTTCTCGGGGTATTCACGCTTCCAGAAAGATTATCGTTGTAATCATCCTGGTTTACGAAAGAAATTTGTTTGTATTGATGTTTTTTTTTCAAAAAATACTCCTTATTTTTCAGAAAAGAATCGTGTGCTTGATACGAATATTTGTTATCCTGCTTCTAAAAAAGTCTCAGTCATTGCCTTCTATAATTCCTCTTCCTATTCCTGTTGATACTTATTCTTTACCCTAGTTACCTGACTCAACTGAGTCTAGTACATCTAGACATCATAATCTTGCTCAAGAGCAGACCATAAAGGTTTATAGTATAGAAAAATATAGGGTGGACATCACCCACCAACTCAGCTAGCCACTCAATCATTATCTTCGTCTACTGATCCACTTTCTTCTTGTGACAAGATGTACCAATTGCGATACCTTTATAGTATCAAATCTTGTACTTAACATCCAATTGCACATTACAAATTTGTTTCCATCATATTAAAGTTTTGTTTTAGCCTCTTCATCTCTTTTGTTCCTAAGACTTATCAAGAAGTACTTGCTCATACTGGGTGGAAGAGAGCAACGAAAGAGGAGATGGATGCATTTCAATCAAATGATGCATGGGTTACCAATTGGAAAAAGGCTTTTGGGTGTTTATGGGTTTATGCAGTCAAATATCAACCTAATCGCACTGTAGAAATATTAAAATTCAGATTGGTAGCCAAAGGATACACACAATATTTGGCATTGAGTACTCCTAAATATTTGCCCCTATTGCTAAACTTAATTAAGTTTGAGTGGTATATCTGTGGCCGCCAAAAGGATGGCCGTTGTGGCAACTTGATGTCAAGAATGATTTTCTCCATTATGATTTACAAGAAGAGGTCTACATGAAGCAACCACATGGTTTGTTGCTTAGGGGGAGTCAAATAAACTGTGCAGAAAGCCATTTATGGCCTGAAATAGTCCCAACGTGCATGCTTTGAAAAATTCAATGAAATTATTATAGCATATGGATTTTGGCACAATCATGTTGATGATTTAGTGTTTATTTGGAAATAGGACTCTAGGATAATTGCTTTAGTCGTCTATTTTGATGATATTGGTGTTACTGGCAATAATCAAGAAGGAATCAATCATTTGAAGAGACATAAAACAATACCTTCAGGTGAAGGATTTAGATCAACTAAGGTATTTTCTAGCATTTGAAGTAGCCATATCAAAGCATGGCATTAGTTTGTCTCAAATAAAATATGTGATTGATTTGTCGATAAAAACTAGAATATTGGGTGCAAGACTAGTGGATATGCCTATGGATTCAAATACAAAATATTACTTTATCAAGACAAGTTGTTTGAGGATCCGGGAAGGTACATAAGACTGGTTGGTAGGCTGATTTATATGACCATTATGAGGCCTGATATTGCTTTTGCAGTAAGTGTTGTGAGTCAATTTATGCATGCATTGAGGATTCCTCTCTGGGAATTTGTTCTTACGAATTTTTAGGTATCCGAAGGGAGCTCTAGGTTGAGGTTTTATTTACAAGCCAAATAATCATTTGACCATTGAAAGATACGTAGATGCAGTTTGGTTAGGTTCACCATCTGATAGGCTGTCTATCACAAGTTATTGTACATTTATTGGTGGAAACCTGGTAACATGGAGAAGCAAGAAACAAAATGTTGTAGCTAGTACACATGTGAATTGATGTGGCTGAAAAAAAAGATGCAGGAGATGGGGTTTACTGTTGCTATCTTGTGAAGATGTATTGCAATAATAAAGCTGCCACTTGTATAGCCAGTAAACCAGTGTTTTATGAAAGGGACAAGCACATTGAAGTATACTATCATTTTATCCGAGGAAAATTGCGAGAAAGTAGGTATCTATTCCGTATGTGTAATCTAAGGATCAGTTCGCAGACATCTTCACCAAAGGCCTCGGCCGTAATATGTTCCAAACAATTTGTTCCAAACTGCGCATGGGTGACATTTATGTTCTAGCTTGATGGGGAGTGTTAAAAGTCCGTTTATCTAAGCTCTAGGACCTAAGTGTCCTTTCTATTTTGTATGGACAGTTTTGCCTTTTAATATTTTTTAATAATATTTTAGTAGTTTATGAGGTGGGTGAGGGGTTCAACCTCACATCACTCTCTTCTCTCTCACATGTCTCTCATATCTATCTCTCCTCACTCTCCGGTTTCTCATCTCTCTCGTCTTTTTCTCTTTTCTCACTCTAGATTCTCTGACACATTTAACGACTTACTTCTTCTAAAGACTTCTTGTATTACTTCAACTCAGTTTTTTTCATGGTTTTACAAATGATTCAAATTGTCTTTGGTTAATGGACTTCTAATCAACAGTCCTACCCGAGAACTCGGATGGATGACTTGGGAAAATTATCTTATTTATTACAGAAATGGATATATATTGTATTTGATTCGAACATTGTATAGATTGTATTTGTTAGTAACAGTTTTGTTGCAATAGATTCTGAAGAATGATCAATCATATAGAAACATTGATAAATCAAAAGATTGTGGGATGAAATATTGTGTTCTATATCTCAGTTCTACGACCATTTATCCCATGAATCATTGATATACTATTTTCTTATCAATTAGCATTACTTATGTCAGAAGACTCCTTTTCCTGAGAAAGTTGGGTTGTCTTCTTCAGTTTTTTTCTTTGTTTTAACTCACAGCCGCTGACTATTTCTCTTGTTTATTCATAGATTAAGAAACCAAACCCAAAGGAGCTAAACCCGTACCTCAAGGATAATGGCTCTGGCTATCCAGATGAATCCAATATGAATACAAAGGATGAAAGTCTCCTTCCACCTTCTCTTGTAGTTGGTGATGGGGGTGCAAGTTGGCGTCTAAAAGCCTTGAAACGTGCACAAGAGCAAGCTGATCGTGAAGGACGCAAACTCGATGCGGTAATGAATCGTACTTCTTGAGAAAGATAGGGTGTTACATTTTTTGAGGCATGCATATGAGACATAATTAGATAATTTTTAAATATTATATTTTTCATTATTATTTTTTATTTTATTTTTTCCAGGTCATTGAAGAGCGTTGGGGTTCTGCAGGTCAAATGGCTGTATCATTGGCTTCTACCAAAGCTGCTCCTGCTCGTGCTCATCTACATGCAATCAAGGATAGAAAAAGGGGAATAATAAATTCTAGTGAAAAAGTTGCAGGTGATGAAAGAGAAGAGAGTAAGGATTATTTGAGGGATGTATCTTCTTGCCATCCCAAAATGAAAGCACCCAAATTTGATGATTCTTTGTCATGGAGAAAGAGGAAGGGACCAAATATGTCCACTAAAGATGCAAAGCTCGTCTCGGCGGCTGCCTCTAGTGTTAATAAGTATGCCAATGATGGTCGTTTCTTGGCTCAGATTAATCAACACCTGAGCAAGGATATTGATGGTGGTGCCAGCCCGTCTTGTAGACTTGACAAGGCAAATGAAACCAGTGAACCTGGAATGGTTTCTAACAAGTATGATGGTGCTAATGGTGAATCTTCGGTTAGTAATCAAGTATTAAGTGCAAACCAGTTGGCTGCTAAGGTATTGCAATTACGCATGAAAGGGAAGCATGAAGAGGCAGAAAAGCTTTTGGTATGATATACTTGTCACTTTATCAGCTACTTTTTTTATCCTGTCTACTCTTTATTGGATGGTTTTAAAGTTATATTTGGCACACTCATGTATGATTTTATAGATGTGTACATGTCTATGTTTGTATGTACCTTGACGACTATCTCTATACTATTCTTTTTAAGCAACTATATGTAACCTGAGAATCCGTTCTCTGTATTTTGTTTCAGAAAGAATCAGAGTCCACAGGTACCACATCGAATCGAGAGCACAAAGCTATCATACAGGGTAATGCCACTAGGTAAATATGCTGACATTTTAAATCATCTTTGTTTTGCATCAGAAATGTTGAATTCTTCTTATGATCAATTTTTATTGGTTATGGTTTTCTCTAAGTACTACAAGAATATTATAAAGTTGTTATGAGACAAGTACTGTACATTTTTTTTGGTAAGACATTATACACAGTCTCTGGTCAATTGCCCTGACACACTTTTATAGACGTAGATCTGGGGACTTTTATGCTCGAAAGAAAAGGGAGGAGGATGCTGACATGCATCTAGCCAAGAGAATAGTTCAGAATAAACAGTACACGACTTATGGACAGGCAGATGATGAGTATGATTTTGATGAAGCACCAAGAAAGAAGCAAAAGCAAAAGGGAAAAGCTGCATTAGAGCAAAAATTAACTGAGAAACCCAGTTTCCAGAAGCGATTAGGGACTCAACAAGAGCGATGCCACTTCTGCTTTGAGAATCCTGATAGACCAAAACATCTTGTCATATCCATTGCTAATTTCACATACCTGATGCTACCGCAATGGCAACCTGTTGTTCAAGGGCATTGTTGCATTTTACCAATGCAGGTAAATTGGTCATGTTTATCTCTCAGGGGATGTGCACCATAAAGCCATTGTCCGATCGGTATTTATCTTTGTCCATGGAATGCTGAATAGTTTTGGAGAGAGATTGGGATCCATCACTAGATTGTACCTTGTTCTGGTGGGTTACACTGTCTCCATCACTATCTATTACTTCATTGGATGAAGATGACCCTATGGACAACAGTTTCCATAGTCGGATATATTATAGCATACTTTCTCGTTCTCCTATTTATTTCCTTTCATAGGACTCCTGTGGATATATGACTTTCTTGATTTTTTATTGATAGTGTTGCCATCCTCTTTGACATTGAGCTAGTTGTGAAAGCACCAATTGTTTAATGTTATGATTTTATTTGCAGCATGAAGGATCGACTCGAAACCTTGATGATGATGCTTGGAACGAAATCCGTAACTTCAAAAAATGTCTTATTAGAATGTTTGCTGAACAAGAAAAGGATGTGATTTTTATCGAGACTGCGATGGGCTTGTCACAACAGCGTCGTCACTGCATGGTTGAATGCATACCTATACCACGTCATATTGCACCTGAAGCCCCCATGTATTTTAAACAGGTTGGTTTCCTTTTTGTTGCCAACTTTTTTTTTCTTTTTTTTGAAATATAGGCTGTTATTTGTGTTGCTACCCCAAAAAATTACAATTTACAACATAAAGTCAGCCGACATACAGGCCCCTGTAAATGCATGTACAAATTAGCCATACATAAGCCAAATGTTTCTTCTTTTTTGCTTGTAAGTTAATTTCAATGCTTGAGAGTCTAGTGGTGCTAAGAACCTGTCTTTCTCAGTTTTGATGATCATGACATTGCCTGCAATTTTGTTGGTAATCCTGGTCATGTAAGTGTTAGGTCACTTAGGTATGATATTGGAGAACTTAAGTGATGTTTTTCTGGGACTAAGAATCGTCTTGCATTTCAAAGCGGCTGAGGATGTTTCTTCATGGTCCTGGAATCTTGGGCGCCTATTTTTCTGGTCCTTTTATAGCTGAAGGGGGACTCTTTTACTATGTCATATCTGTCAGTCTCTTGGACAATGGAAGAGAGCATATAATAAAAGAGGGTTCTAATGATTGCTGGAGCAGATTTATTGGCTACAGGATATTCATTCTAACAAATCTGCAGAAACTTGTTAGTTCTTGAACAGTATCTTATGTAAATCATGCATTCTTCATGTTTTGCTTGACGATAGAACTTACATGCAAAAGTTCTGGTCGCTAAATTGATGGCCTGATTTTATAACCAAACCCTTCCATTTCTCAAGCTCTTCAGTGTAGTTAGATTAGTTTTAAATAAGGTTAAGCTAAGTGGCTCTCGCCAAACTTACAATCCGTGATCACACTTTCGAAGTTCTGCTCTTTCGTTTTGTTTTTTGTTTTTTTGTTTTTGAAATGGTAATGTTTGGGACTTTCATATTTCTTGATTCCTGGACTTTAAAATCACTTGATGAACAATTTTATGATTGAAATTAGCTTAAAATTAATATGATTTTGCAGGCAATTGATGAAGCTGAAGAAGAGTGGAGCCAACACAATGCGAAGAAACTTATAGACACGAGCGTGAAAGGGTTGCGTGGTTCTATCCCAAAAAATTTCCCCTATTTTCATGTGGAATTTGGTTTGCAAAGGGGTTTTGTGCATGTCATTGATGATGAAAAGCAATTCAAGAGCAACATGGGCTTGAACGTCATTAGAGGCATGCTTGAGCTCCCAGAGGAAGACATGTACAGGCGTAGGCAGCATGAATCAGTTGAGGCCCAAAAACAAGCAGTCTCAAGGTTTGCTCGAGAGTGGGAACCTTTTGATTGGACTAGAGCATTGGATGAATAGAGAAGAGGTATGTAGGTAATTTATGTTTTCCTTGTGTTTACCTGTTTGATTAGTCTGAATAGAATATAAGAAACGATCCAATGTCCCGTATTGTTTTAGAAGGTGATGGGTCTTTGTTAAGTTTATCGAGTGATGAAATGGTGAAAGTTTTATAAACTTGTAGGAAGTGAAGGATTTTTCTGCCCTCTGTTAATAGTTATTATGGCTGCTATAAACTTTTGGGATTGTGGCGATGTCAATTTCAGGCATTTTTTGTTTCAAAAACTATTGCAAAATATGATTGTTTTGGTTTTGGTTTTGTTTTGAATTTTAACTTCTGCTAAGGGTAAATTTGTCATCCCTTCTGATTTACATGATTGTCTCATTAGGAGAGACAGCGGTGCCATTTCATTTCTGAAAACTTTCTGGTGTTACTCTGTGCTTGGGAATGAGTTTGATTATTTCTTAATGTTTGAATAGCTTGACTTTCATGGTTTATGCTAGCCCAGCTGCTTTATATTGAAAGCTGTTTGGCTAGCAATTGTTGTATGTCAACTCTATCATTGTTTGCGTCATATAGCACCTGTGTTTTTAATGGCTATGCACACACAGGTGAGTTTGTCTGTGTGTGTGTGTGTGAGAGAGAGAGATTTTCAACACTGGTGCGGTATTTGGTTTTGTAATGCATTTGGGTTTCTAAGAATGAGTGGGTTTCACTTCTTGCTTTCTACCCCTTTTGCATACTTCCCAATTTGCGTGCTTCCTTCCGCCCCATTCTCTCCAAACTGGTACAGGGAAACCAATATCAAGAAATCAGTACAAACTGTGCAGTATCTGGAATCCCAAATGTGGAGGTGGACCTTGTTTATGGATTGCAGAGGATGAGCAACATTGGGTCTGCAGGCTCTTGAATTTATGATCCACGCAATGTGTAATACTGTAGCCTAGTTCTTTACTTGTTTGGCATAAGTTTTGTAGATTTATTTTATGCTATCAACTCAATTTTATTGCGGTTTGAGCTGGGTTTGGGAAAGTTAGTCAAGTCTTATTAAAACATTGGGTTTAAGGTGCACTTAAAAAACCACTAGAAAAAGTTGTTTTTATGCTGGAAAACCCTCAAATTGATCATCTTGATCTTGAGATTCATAGACATGAAAAAAAAGGAGATTTCTAGTTCTAAAAATAATTCATCTTCTGACATATTATCTGGATCGTCTATTTTTAAGATTTTCAAGTGTTCAATATCTGCTTGATTAACACCATTTATAAAAAAATTTAAATTAGATGATTGGGGGCAACAATAGTTTTTAATATCATTGCAAGGCTTTGCGGCACGAAAACCGCATTTTCAGCATAGTTTTCAGGTGCACTTTACGTCAATGGTATAAGATTCGACACTTTATGCAAACCTCACCTTTTACAATAACATAAAGCAAACATAAGCCTTATGAGCAGAAGCTAACCTGTCCATCTATATTACATGACCATAGATCCATACTCAAATCGTGCCAAAGTTGGGCTAAAAAGAAACTTGCAAAGACGGGACAAAACAAATGGAATTTAGAGTAGGCAATAACAAACTTGGCTTTTCATTCCACTTCGTGGAAAGTACAATTTTGACGTTGAAAAAACTCTCTCTAAACCCTCCGTCATGTGATATCTTTCTCCCGCCATGTTGAATGCTTTCCATTACAGCACATTCTCCTCCCTTCTCGGCTTCCTTCGATGGCCATCAATACAAGCACAAATTCCTTCTTAGGATCAGGGCAAGTTGGAATGAATGCCGTTGGAACCGAAAATTCACTATGTTCGCATACGGGTCTACGAAATTCAGTTCAATCGTGTTCCGATTCATTAGATGATATATCGCAAGAAATACACTAATATGACATGGGGATATAATGGACTTTTTCAATTCGCCGATTTAATAAGGCAGAAATGGTGTTGAAGAAATAAAATATCAGGAAAATGATAAAAATGAACTATTTAATATTTTGGGATTGTATACAATGAGACTATTTATCTTTGGTATAGAAATGTCACAATTACTTATAACCATTAGATTTTATATAAAATCTGATAGTTTATGTCTTTCACAATTACTTATAACTCAATAAAAAATACCTAAAATATTAGAAAAAGTGTACAATGAGAACATTAACGTCTAGTACAAGGTGGTCACAATTAATCTTAACCATTAGATGTGAAATTTGGTGGCTACGTTTATTTTATTTACCAAGCTCAAAGTTCAAAAGATATTTTTTCGAACTTTGTGACACACTTAAACTATCAGATTTTACATCTAATAGTTATATATAAGGGTTATGTTAGGGTGCTCACATATAGAGTAATTTATCATTGCACTCAACAAATTTTGGATACTTCTGTGCTCTTGTTTTATACATGGAGTATATTTTAATGAGGGTATTTTTTTATCATTATGATAGGTGTGACAACATCCACATAGGGTGTGACATCATCCACATAGGTTGTAACATCACTTACATGGAGCACACTAGTGGCATTTAATGCTCCATGTGGGTGATGTCACATCTCATGGGAATGTCATCACACCCTCCTAATGACAAAGAATATCCTTATTAAAAAAATGGTTATCTTAGAATGCTCACATTATAGAGTAATTTATCATTGTGCTTATCAAATTTTGGACATTTATATACCTTTATTTTGTACATGGAGTTTTTTTTAGTAAGGGTATTTTTGTTCATTAGGAGATAGAGTTTTTTTTAGTAATGATATTTTTGTTCATTAGGAAAGGTACGACATCATCTACACGGGGTGTGACATCACTCACATAGTGCATTAAAAGCTACTAGTGTGCTCCGTGTGGATGATGCCACACCTATGTGGATGACGTCACACTTATCATAATGACTAAAAATACCTTTATTAAAAAATACCCCATGTACAAAACAAGGGTATAAAAGTGTCCAAAATTTATTGAGTATATTGATAAATTGCTTCATAATTTACTCCATAGTGTGAGCACCCTTACATAACCATTTTTTGTTTACTTTCAATAAGCTCATCAAATACATATACTCAGAGTTGGAATTTGAAAATAATTAAATGCATGGTGGTCACAATTAATCTTGACTATTGGATGTGAAATTGGGTGGCTGCATTTATTTCATTGACCAAGCTCAAAAGAAATTTTCTCGAACTTTGTGACCACCCAAGCTATCGGATTTTATTTCATGAACTTTGTGACACACCCAAGCCATCATATTTCACATTGGATAGTTATAAATAATTGTGATATTCCTATATCAAAGGTAAATGATCTTATTGTATGCAATCCTTTCGTCAAAATACCCATGAGAGATGCCTTATTCAACATTTACATATTTGTACCTATTCTAATTCATTAGGGCAGGTATTTATGCTCCCTTGGGAGCATATTTATTTCTCCACCCTCGGTTAGAAGAATTGTTTGGGGGGATTTTTTCAATCTTAAAATTTTGGAACCACTTAAGAATTTACCAGATGATTATTTTTTTTTTATTTTTTTTTGAAATTTAAGTTTTTATAACACTTAGATCTCACAAGTTAAAAATTGGATGATCCCTATTCAATTTCAAGACATTATTTTTTCAAGTGTATAGAAGGTAAAAGTATATAAAAGGTACAATTAGAATTGTTTTTTGTTAAGATTTATCTACGGGTTGTGGATGTTATATCCCCAAATTTTGGGTTCCTAAAATTAATTCTAAATGAGATTTTACTTGAGGAGTAGAATATCTATTGGCATTCATAATCATGCATCTTTTGATAAGTATTTTGATATTTAATCAAATGATATAAATAAAATGTTACATAGTTAATGCCTAATAGGTATTTTAGTAAGGAAAATTGTTTCATGCAATAGGGGTCGCATTTATACATTTGCGGTCCCCGAGGTATAAAGCATCCATTTTAAAGATGGATACAAATATGTGGTCCATTAAAAAAAAACAGAAACTAACGATCTAAATGTTTTCTTAACAGAATTATTATCTTTAATTTTTAAAATTTATTTATTTATTTATATTCATGATCTCAATGTTAGAGATTACATGTCCTTAAAACTTAGGTCAAAAGTTCTATCTCAAAAATAGATTTTTAAGAGGTGATTCATTTCTACATGGACTCATAAAAACCATGTCATTTCCTTAATAAAATATTAAATTGTTAATAAGAGAAGCATTGACTTGGTGAATTTCCCTAAAATACATAAATGAGTGGTGAACAGTATTCACAAAACCAGCCGATCTAACTACTAACCGTCCGGTTAGATCGAAACCGGCTAGTGACCGGTTCCAATTTTGGCTGGCTTTGTGGTCACCCAGTATTTTAAACTTTAAGTAGAATTATACTTAATATTTATATCAAATATGTTAGAATGGCTTATTTGTTAGCATTGACAATTGGTTTTTATGTGACTAAGGATTCGAATTGTTTAAAAAACCATATGCCATTTATTACTTAGTTGACCAGCATTTACTACTTAGTTGATAAAAAAATGGGTTTATATTATATATAACATAATTTTTTCTTCATTTTCTTTAAGAAAAAAAAGATCATTTTCTTTAAAAAACCCCAGCGTTGTTTTCTTTTATGTTAAAAAACCATATGCATTGTTTTCTTTTAAAATACCATGGTTAAAAAACCATATGCCATTTATTACTTAGTTGATCAACATTTACTACTTAGTTGATAAAAATATGGGTTTATATTGTATATAACATAATTTTTTCTTCATTTTCTTTTAAGAAAAAAAATATCATTTTCTTTAAAAAAAAAAAAAGATAAAAAAGATCTTTCTTTTTAAAAAAGGAATATCATTTTCTTAAAAAAAAAGAGTTGGTCAAGTTGATTTTTTTTTTTAACACTATTTTAATATTCTTTACATTATGGTAAAGATTAAAAATATTTTGATCTTTGATACTCACTTTTATAGTTTCCTATATTTTCAGAAAATTAAAAAAAAACCCCTAGACACAAATTGACTCATTAAAATCTATTTTTTCATTAATTTTCAACTTCATTTGAGTGTGTTTTGTTTTAATCACATTCTTTATATATTTTTCATATTTTAGTATATTTTTTTTGGATCTTTTTTATTTTTTTAATTGTTCTAGACTTATCCGGTTAGAACGGTTGAATTGGGCAGTTTACCAATTAGACCAATTAAATCACTTCCAGGTCCATGTCCGATTAACCGTTACGGTTCGATTTTGCAAACGCTGATGGTAAATCTCCAATCTCCTCAGGCATCTTAACACGATATTTAGTACTCGTGCCACCCATCATTCAGAGTATAAAACTTTTTAGGTTTATAATATGGACCTGGTCTCTATGCGGCCAGTATATGTAAACATGCGGGCCTTTTAAAAATCTATTTTGGAGATGGATTTTAAGATTTAATTTTTAAAGACACGTAATCTCTAATTTTAATATTTAAATCATGAATATAAAAACATAAATAAATTTTAAAAGTTAAGAATAATAATTCAAGCAAGAAAACATTTGGAGTGTTACTTAAAATGCGGTCCAGTTCGGCATGGAGCAATTTTCCTAATAATATTTGGGCCAAGGGTTAGTCTATGAGAATAATGCAATCGAAGGGGTAGGCTCTCTCTGCAAACCTCGCTAATGAAAGTCCTTTTCCATATTTTCTAAAGGGAAATAATCAATCAAGCCAGGAATCACGAGGCTATATAATTTTTGTAAATTTTTGAAATATGAAAATGACATATGAAAACTCCGAGGATGTTTAGTGATATTTCCCTCCTATAAATCTGAGATCATCTTTATATTGTAACAGGACCTGTCCTTTATCTCGCCCCCAAAGGAACTCTGTCACACGAGAAACGCAACTCTCTCTCCCTCTTTCTTGTGAGGAATGCACCTCGCTCCCTTTCATTTTAGGGCTTTTGTAGTTTTGGTGTTTATGAATGCGAATTCTTTTATCTTTAAAGAATAAGTTAATTCAATCCAATGGAACGATTTCAATGGTGGGATTTTCTTATTTTAACTGTGGTGATACTGAAGAACCATTTTTTAAGGTGGTATGTGAAATTTTTTTATTGAAGGCTTTTATAGCTCCAATTTTTATGTCTGCTGAACCTTTTTTTGCAAGAATATTAGATAATTGAATCCAATGTAATAATTTTAATGGTGGAACTGTCTCATTTTAATGGGATGATCTTAAAGAATGTTTAGGTGTGCTGAATGAATGTAATGTTTATAACTCCAATGTTTCAAGCATTTTCAGGTTGCAATGATTCAGTTTTTTTTCCCCCTCTTTTATTGAGCTTTTTGAGCTCAAGAAACCCCGATAATCGTGGAAGCTCGATGGTTCCATTGCTATTGGTAACTAAAAAGGAAATTGAATAGGATGAAACTTCATATCTCATTAGTTATAAAATTCAGGTTTTCTTCCAAAATTACAGTATATGATTTAGAAATTCGATGAAATTTCACTTAAGTTTGAATACTCTAGATGGTTGAACAACATTAAGCTTTATTTATGCTGATTTGACTTAGAGGTCTTATTGCTCAATGCATAAGCATGCTGATTCAATCTTCATGTTCCTAGTCTCTTGAATAAGGAAATGGAACTGATAGCATAATGTGATAACGAAATGGAAAAGTATACAATGACACATTTTATCTTTGGTACAAGGTGGTCACAATTAATCTTGACTATTGGGTGTGAAATTAGATGGCTGAATTTATACCATTGACCAATCTCAAATTTCAAAAGAAATTTTTTTGAACTTTACAACACCCAAGCTATCAGATTTCACATCGGATGATTGTAAGTAATTGTGACCACCTTGTATCAAAGGTAAATAGTCTCATTATATACAATCCCTAATAAAACTTGCTATAGAATAGTTGGACCACTTATTTCTTTTGGTTACATTTTGGGGAGGATCAAACTATTCTTCTTGCTTGATCTATGGTGGATGACCTATTATATTCTAATATTACCCCGATGCGAATTCTGTTGATTAAACAGGTTATCAAACCTATGTTTCTAGGCTCCCCTAAATTCCATTACCGAACACAGTATTTTCCAAGGAGCTTGATCATCCAACTTCACAAGGAGAAGGGGCTTCCAGGTTCCAGATAACAGCTAGCTTCTGGTTGTCAAACAACCCGTAAATAAACTGAGCAGTTCGTGATTTTGGGTATATCTCTATCCTCCTCTCCCAGTTCCAGGCTCTTGGAAGTTGGAAGCCAGTCAGTTTTTATGGCTCTGGCTAGAATCTTTCGAAGTGGGCACCGATTGTTGAGACCATCTTTTGCAACGCAAGTATATATCAGGCCTTTTATTTTTCTTTTTTCTTTTTCTACATTTTCCCTTTTCTTTTTTGTTTTTTTGGGTTTTTTCTGATTCAGTAGCTGCTATTTATTTATTGGGTTCTGAATTTCTTTCATGACTAACTGTAACTTTCAGAGTGTTCAAAGGCTAGTAAGTGCCATTGGTTCAGATAATAAGAATAGGGTTCATGGAAGAAGGCCATCAATTGATGGAGTTAAGGATATCATAGCTGTAGCTTCTGGGAAAGGTGGTGTAGGCAAGTCCACTACTGCAGGTTAATCTTCCCATTCTTAATTTTTTCCTTTTTTTCTCTGTAATTTATTTTACTTTTTTTGTTTTTTATGTATGAGTTTGGCTTTTTTCATTTGGGGGATTCATATGCAAATATTGTGCCATTTCTTGTAAAGAGTTTTATTCCCTTCTGAAATCATGTGTAAATAATGTGTCATTTCTTATAAAAAAAAACACCCTGGCATTAAGTGCGAATAGACTCTAAATGTTCTTCCTTTACACATTAAATTCAAGAGACTGAGCCTGGGCACAGTTATGTAGATGAAAACACTCCAGAACTGTTTTTATTGGATTGGCTTTGTTCAGGGAAAATATCATTTGGTGTTTGTAGTTCTAAAAAGAAAAATAACATTACTTTTTGGTTTTGTGTTCACTTCAAAATAATATGAATTGGAAAATGAAGAAATTTGAAGATTCATTCTATAGCTCATAGAAATATCACATTGGGAGCTATTGATTATACATGACAAGAAAGGAAAATCTATTGTTTAACTAGCTTGCCTGGAAGTGAAGTTGAATATCTAAATATAGCTCGTATGGCCAGAATCTTTTGGTATATGGGGTAATCTACTGTAGAATAAAATTAGATAAACAACATTGCCTGCCCTTCGCGCTCTAGACTTATTTTGAATGATCGATGATTTTTGTTTTACTTTCTATTCAACATGTATAAAACTTGCTTCATATTAAAGGTTTTCAACAATCCTTTCAAAATGTCTCCATATGGAACGCTCAGAAAGTAAATGCTTACAAAAAATGAAAACCAGGACCACCATGGCAGGTAGGTAGGAATTGAGTGGGCACATAAGCGGCAGATAGGTAGGAATCGAGTGGGCACCTAAGTGGCAGATAGTAGGGTAGAAAGAGGTTGGGGTTTTGAGTTTGCACTATTTAAGGTGATGGCCGCATCAAGCTGGTCCTTTCCATTGTATAAGCTTTATGCGTCACTTAATTGCATGAGTTATTATTATTTCTTACTTAATCCCCTTTTTATTGATTGCAGTTGCACTATTGTTAGCTCTATTAATAATTGCCTCCACTGTGTAGTTGCGGTATCATACTGGATGTTCGGTTAATAGTTATATAGTCTAGAAGGCTGTTGAGGGTTCTTGATCTTTTGGAAGTTTGCGCATTTACTGGTACCATATCTATAAATTTCAGTGAATTTGGCTGTTGCACTTGCCATGGAGTGTCGATTGAGGGTGGGTTTGCTGGATGCTGATGTGTATGGACCATCCATTCCTACCATGATGAAGCTCCATGGAAAGCCAGAAGTGAGTAAAGGTGCTCCTCTCCTTGTTTTATTACATTTGATGACAAATAAAATATGTGATTCTGATGTATGCTTTTGATTCCTTGGCAAAAGCATCATTTATATTAATAAATACATCTTCTCTTGTTGTTCACCCGAATAGCTGGTAAATATTGGTTTCATTTATCACCAATAAATAGAGAGAAGCTTTTATTCATCTATTCATGAATGCTATGTAAGCACAATCAATATCAATATTTGTGCAGTTTCGCTTATTGTATCGAATCAGAAAGAAGAGTCGTAAACTTGTGATCTGATTGTCCTTTATGGCACTTTCCAATAAACTTATATGCATCCCTATTATCCTTCAATAAAGTAGAATTTTATTTGCAAGAAGTGAGCACTCCTTAATCTTTACAACAGGATATGACTTGGTTTGACTTTTTTTTTTTGGAAGAATGCTTTATCATTTTCTGTTTCTTGTACAAATAGCCCGAATATGCAATGCTTTGTAAATTTACCACTTTTTAACATGATGTGGGACATGGATACTATGGAGCTAATGTGCCTTTCTCCACAGCATTGGTTCAGAACTTCAGATCCTACTTCATACATAAGAATTAAGACCATAACTCCAACCATAACTCAAAGAGTTATATGCTGACTGTGGGCATGTTCCCTGGATTTGACAAGGAGCACCTTGTTTAGCAGAGGTCAGTGTTTTGTTTTAACGTTTTTCCATCATATTTCTGACAGATATGAAGATGATCCCTATTGAAAACTATGGAGTGCGATGCATGTCAATTGGATTTTTGGTAGATAAAGGTGCTCCAATTGTATGGAGAGGCCCCATGGTAAGTAAGTGAGTGCTACTGCGTAAGCTTGTGAATGGAAATTTAGAACCAAAATAAGGTAAACTTCATACCAGGTTATGATGGATGCATTGAATACCAAGTTGCATGGGTGATTTTCATCCTTTGCTCTTGGATTTATTGGATGCATTTCTGGTGCCACTTCCCATAACCATCCATTTATTTGTTTTTGTTGTAGTTTATTTTGCTAGAAAATTTGTGCGGCTAAATTTACTTGCAGGTTATGAGTGCTCTACAAAAATTGACCAAGGGGGTTGCATGGGGAGATCTGGACATTCTTGTTGTGGACATGCCTCCTGGTACTGGGGATGCTCAGCTGTCCATGTCGCAGAATTTGCAATTATCGGGTAATCCTCAAAGAACAAGTTGACCGATGCATGATCTGTATTAGAATTTGTCTTCCTTTATGTTGTTGTGTGAATTACCTCTCACTTCTTAGTAAACAATCTTGAACGTTTACAAGGTAATAGTTACATCGAGGAGGAGATTTTTTTTCTGTGTATGTTAGTGTAAAGTTTGTAAATGACAAATGTCAGATGTTTATTTGCATTCTCATTGTAGTTGTAATTCTATTCTCTAGGAAGTGCTGGTGCTGGTACCATGTGATTTATTGTCCTCTCTAGTTTATGATACTAATGCACAATTATTTTTATTTTAGATCATTCTGAATGACAAATATCATTATTTTTGCTTTCTAAAAATAAAGGACATTTGTTCTCTTACAAGCAAAATTTTAATTGTAACTAGTCTAGTATCTAATACCATCTTTGGTAGAACTTTTTATGTGATTGCTTTATCACATTTCTTTAATTTGTGAACATAACACCTGCAGATCCAATTTGCAGGCACATTGATTGTTTCAACTCCACAGGACATTGCGTTATTGGATGCCAGGAGAGGTGCAAACATGTTTCGTAAAGTTGAAGTTCCTGTAAGAACAACCATATATGTATCTCTCTTTGCTTGGTTTTGCCATCTTTTACAATTTAGAACTGTAGATTATTCATTGTCAAAAAAAAGAATGATACTACAGTCCAGACTCTGGATTTATTTTGACCATTTACAGGGATTTTTCTTGCTTAGCACTTGTACCTGTTTTCTAGGATTAATAGTCTCAGTAGACAACGTCACAAAAATATTTGTGAATAACAAAAGCTGGCATATTGTCCCACGTCTCCACTCATTCCCATCTTCCATAAAAACATGTACAAGATGATAATGAATATTTGCGTAACAGATAGGAGTGATTGTTCTCACTTTCTTTCACTTGGTATTGATATACTTCCACCTTCAATAAGTAACTTCAGTAAGGTCTAAGAGGCATGTTATAGATTCAAGTAGTCTCATTATTTTTCATTTTGATGTCATGGCTATCATTATTCTTATTCTTGAAATGTTTAATGCTAGACATTTTGCAGATATTGGGACTGATAGAGAACATGAGCTGCTTCAAATGTCCACATTGTGGTGAGAAATCATATATATTTGGACAGGGAGGTGGTAGGCATACAGCTGATGAAATGGATATGAAATTCCTAGGAGAGGTAATCTTTATTTAGACCTTTGGAAAAGAAAAAACAGTATATTTAGGCGTGTCTGTCCATGCTTCTGCTGATAAATTGAAGTTTTTGCATACCCATATAATTAGGCCGCTCAAGCTGATTCACTTTTTTCTTTTCCATGTATTACACTCGGGGCGATGTGGCCAAGATTCAGAAAGGGAAATGTATAAATGACTAGAATAACAATTTCTGAGCAATGTGGCCATTATTTTATATAAAAAAGAGAAATTTACATACAGACACAAAAAAAAGTGTATAAAATACAAAAATGGGTGTAATTTAGCCAAAAATTACACGAATGGTCAGTGCCGCAGTGGTTTTTTATTTTTTCCCATATTGCCCCTTGTTCTGAGAATGCCATTCTCGGACTGCTTTTTATTTTATTTAATTTAATTTAATTTTTTTTGATAGTAGGGATGTGCCCTAAGGCTTAGAACAGTGCAAAAAGCAATCCGAGGTCCCCATCCTCGGACCACCTATGTTCAGCTATTAGAACTCAAAGTACGCGGTCCGAGGATGGGGAACTCGGACTGCATTTGGACAGCCTTGGTGACTCCATAGAGTGCTCCGAGGTCCCCATCCTTGGACTGCCTGGGCACTATCCTAAACCTAAGGGCACAACCGTATTATCAATTTTTTTTTTTAAGCAAAGTTAAGAAGCAGTCCGAGAATGGCATTCTCGGACGGAGGGGCAATACGGGAAAAAAATAAAAAACTATGGGGGACTGACCCTCCGCGTAATTTTTGTCTAAATTAGACCCATTTTGTATTTTAATTACTTTTTTCGTGTCTGTATGTAAACTTCTCTATAAAAATATGGATGCTTATGTCTCTTAGAACAATCCGATCCAAGTTTCCAAGAGACACTAACTTCAATTTTAACCGTTGTGCTCTAGGAATATATGAAAGTGAACAGGATTCAAGAAAAAGAGGGAGAAAATAAGGGATGCTAGCATTAGTTTGATATTTCGAATACCATAAGTTTCTTTCCACTCTACAAAATTGAGTAAATAAATAAATATGGAGAAATGGTTTATGCGTCGGGGGATGGAATTCTACAATTACGTCCCCTAAGGCATCGAACTTCCATCTTTCAGATGGATGAAAGTGGTGGTCCCTCTCAAAAAAATAAAAATTAACGTGTCCAAAAACCTTTTCCAAAAAGTTATATTTTTAGCTTTTAAAATGTACTTATTTTTTATATATTAATAATAAAATGATTTCCATGTTTTATTTTTCTGACAAATTAGGTCCAAAGTTCATCTAAAAAATATATAGATCATAAAGAGGGGATAGATATCTACATATGAGTCCTAAACTCGTAGAAACAGTGTCCAATAAATATTAGCAAAATGCATAATACCTTGGAAAGCTATTTGTTTGAATTTCTGCTGCATGGTTTGTAATAAAGAAGACGTGTTTATTTAATTTAGAGATTGTCTTGATCAGGTACCCCTAGATGTGGAAATTAGGAGAACTTCAGATGAAGGGACTCCTATTGTTTTCTCGTCACCTCATTGTGGGGTCGCTGAAGCCTACAAAAATATAGCAAATCAAATCGTGAGTAGACTCGAAGAACTTGAAAAGGAACGCAGTATCAACTTTCCCGAGATTCGATTGTAACCATACGAGTTTCTACTACTTTCTTAGAGGTATGTAACTTAAAAACATATTTAACTTCATTCCATAGGAAATTTTTTGGCAGGCATGTGAGGGTTATTAAGCAGAATGTTTTCTTCTCTATATTTGTTTGAAAATGAGGTTTTGAAATAAACTGTCCCTTCAAATGTTCCAAATGATGGTCACTTGACATTGTAGGTTTTTTTAACGGCTAAAGACTTTGATTTTACATCATCATCATATCAGAGCTTTTTGCCAACTATTTGGCTACAAAAATCCTGGTATGCAGTTTTGTTATACCAAGGCTAAAATTATTGGGAGGCACCTTTCGACCATGCTATTGATATCCTGAAACTTGGACTATGATTCGCAAAACTTCACTGAAAACATGAATTTTCAGAACTATAGTTTTTAAAAAGTTTGAACAGGTGTAATTCTCAATATAATTTTAAAACTCACATTTTTTAAGAAAATGAAAAGCTACCGTTTTACATCAATTTTTAAAAAACTGTCGAAAGAACGCTTTAAAAAATTGTCTTAGCATTATTCTAGATTTACAATACTATATATTTATATATTCTTCTCTGTCATTTTTGTAAATTTACAATACTATATGCCTTCGTCTGAGCAATGACATATATTATGCCCTATTGGTTAATACGTACGTTGTGAACTAATTGTTTCTCTTGAAAGATAATGCAACTATTACGCCTTGGAAAAAAAGCCGACTCCCTAGCACCTTAAAAAAAAGTGAGGAAAAAAAAAGAGAAAAAAGAGAGAGGATAATGCAACTATTTGGTGTCCATGTAAGTAAGCATCTTCCCCTCGTGTCATCATTATCATTTTAGCCTTTTTTCAATTAATTGGGATTGGCTACATGAATTCTGATTAGTGTTTGCAAAACCGGGCGATCTAACCACTAACCTTTCAGTTAGATTGGAACCGGCAAGTGGTTGGTTTGGCTGGTTTCGGTTTTGGGCAGTTTTGGTAATCAACTGGTATTTAAAAAAATAAATAAATAAATTGTATATAAATTCCTAAAAATAGGAATTTTATTTGTAATACATTTTTTTAATATTCTTTACAATATGATAAAGATTAAAATTGTATTGGTCATCAATACTCACTTTTATATTTTTTTATCTTTTTCAGAAAATTTTAAAAGTACCTCTAGGCACAAATTGATTCGTTAAAATCCATTTTTTTCATTAATTTTCAACTTCATTTGAATGTGTTTTGTTTTAATCATATTATTTATATGTTTTTCATATTTTAGTAGATTTTTTTTTGTATGTATATTTTTTTATTTTTTTCAACACTTTTTTGATTGCCCGGAACTTGTTTGGTTAGAGCAGTCGAATCAGTCGGTCTACCGGTTAGGCCGGTTAAACCGCTTCCGGGCTCATGTTCGGTTAATCGTTTCGGTTCGATTTTTCGCACACTAATCTTGGTTCTCCATTATGGTCTTTAAAGGCCATAAGTTCTTGTATCTTTTCGAACTACTTCCATAAGTTTCAATATTTTTTCGTACTGCTTTCAACTACATCCTTTTGGACCTATTTTTTACTATTTTTAGTCCTTCCATTTGAACTAATTCGCACATCCTAACCGTTACTATATATATATACACAAATAGATAATCTTTTTGCATATTATGTTCGAACATATGTACTTAAAAAATGCACCTCTTTGGGTTGTGTTTTTTTAGCAAAATCCTAACAAACCATGTTTTTTTACTCAAATGATTTTGTGGATCTCTTTTTGGGCTTATGATTTTTTTAAGTGAAATCCTAACAAATCATTTGGGTGAAATTTTTTCACTCAAATGACTTTTGGGATCTCTGTTTCCTTCTTTGGTTCGGCTATTTTCGATAGAAATCGAATTAATATTGACCTTATAATGCGGTTACAAGAATTGCTAATTCGGGTAATAAGAAAGAAGCGAGGTTGGCATACCTTAGCATGCATAATGGCTTAATGAATTTGGAAGTAGTGTGTTTTTTGGGTAATATAGTGGGAAGCCGTGTCCCTACCTATTTTTTAAAATAATTTAGGAGTTAATTTATTTGAAGGTGTTAGTGGGTGGTGGCAGTAAAGATGAAAAGAATATGCGTAGAGTAGAGTAGAGTGTGGGGGTGTTACCACGGCGCGATCAATGTGTTTTTAATATGCGTACCAAGCCGTTGTGCAATGCACAGCTTGCCCTTCCCTTCTCTTCCCATTGTGAAATATGCATTTTTGCTTTCTAAACATATGCTTAATTTCGTACTGCTGAAATGGGATCTGATGCTTGGCCGCATGGTACATATTAGTGTCTATTTTCGGTTAAATAGTAAAATGAGCAATTTTATTCATTGTGTTTTATAAACAATTTAAATATTGTAATTGTCTAACTTTACTAAACATAACTTTAGGAAGAGAAGAGGAAACTAAAGACAAAAAATAAGGAAATAAACATTTTTATAAGAAAACCAAAGAAAATGTACGACCTGTTGATTTCCTCCGGTTCACCCGGCCTCTTCTGGGAATCTGGTCTGCATTGGCAAATTGGATCCATTAAAAAAAAAAAGATATTGAGAACAATAAAAAGATAATAAATAAATATGATAGGTAGGAACCGGGCAATTTATCCGATTTCCTAACTGATGCAGGCAGGGAAAATGGAGGGAGGAAATAATTAAAATAAAAATAATAATAAAGGGTGAGAGAGTATATCCTTTTTTTGGGTATGCAAGGCAGTCCACTTCAAAAACATAACTTTTTACTCAAATCCAGGTCTTCCCTCTTCACAATGAGGACTTCTGCCTTTAAATACACTTAGAAAAAAAATAAAATAAAATAAACCTACAAAATATAAACTCTCTCTCTTAAATACACTTTAAAGAAAAATAAATAAATAAATAAACCCATAAAATATAAACTCTCTCTCTCTCTCTCAAACTCCCGTATCCCTTATCAAACTATCTCAAAACTCATTTCTCCCTTACAAACCAAGTAATCCTTACTGCAACTAAACCTAATTAATATTTATCTCTTTAAAACCAACTTAATCATTTACCTAATATTAAAACCAACTATATCCCCAAAACAGCTCATGCACTACCTTATTCATTAAACAACTCGCACACTATCATATTTATTAAGTAACTCATGCACTACCCTATTTATTAAAATAAAAATTAATCTATTAAAAAATAGTTTTTTTATAACCCCAATTTTAATTTAAATTATTCTCATGGGGTTAGGGTAAACTCGACCTCAAGCTTACACCTTGTAGAGGCCAAGCAAATAATTGGTGATGCAGTCCCAATATGCGTCTCAATACTTGTTTTTCTTCAAATAAACAATCGATCAAATATAATTTGTAGTGGAACTATGAGATATCGAACTATGGGATACTAAATTGAATCTTGATTTTTCTTTTCCAAGTTCACAGGGATGGATTTCACATATTGCATCACGCAAGTCTTCTTCTTCATAGTTAATTTTCAAAATTTCTTGCACTTTAGGGTCACATATTGCATCACGCAAGTCTTCTTCTTCATAGTTAATTTTCAAATTTTCTTGCACTTTAGGGTTATTGACACCGTCCTTTATATTGTGTTCATATTCTTGTTCCTCTTGTTGCAATATACTAAGTCGATCTTGTAGATATTGTTGTATTGATATTGTTGTATTCATTTGCGATGGTGTTTCATGTGTCTATCGAATTGTTGATCCAATTGCTCAAACCGATCCAAACTCTCCATTTAGTGAATGGATCTTTGATCTCAAGGCTCTAATACCAATTGATATAAGAAGAAATAATAATATAATAATAATAATAAATGTAAGAGAATATACCATATCTCTAGGTTTGTTAGGGATTCCACTCCAAAAGGGAGTCCACCTCAAAATATATTTTCACAAGATTAACTCTTTACTCTAGTCCAATTCTCTGCTCTTTAGAATGAGTGATTTCTTCATTTTAAATACATTTGAAGAAAAATAAATAAATAAAAAAGATCCCACAAAAAATAAAAGGAAAATATCTCTATACCCATATTTTTAAGTTGACCCAAGGTTTCAAAACATATCTTAGGTCCTAAAAATTCTAAGTTTTATATTTTTTAACCCCCTAAGTTAACTTTATTCCCTTTAAACCTATTTTTTTTGTCCCAAACAAATATAAGAAAGACATATCATTTCTAAACACCATTCTTTTTATCTCTTCACATGATTTTCTCTTCAATCTCTCTCTACCTATTTTCCCACTCTCTCTCTCTCGTTAGAGAGATAAAGAGGTGAATGTTAGATAGAGAAATTTGGGGGAATATATCATGTAAAGAGAGTAGGGGTTTAAAATGAACATGTCTTTTTTATATTTGCTAGGGTTAAAAAAGTAGTTGAAAGTGGGTAAAGTTAGTCAGGGGGTTAGGAGATATGTTTTGAATTTTTGAGTATATTGAGATATGAAAACGAAAAATAAGGGGTATGAAAATATTTATCCAAAAACTAAACTCTCTCTCTCAAACTCATGTCTCCCTTATTAAAGCACCTCAAAACCCATGTCTCATTTATCAAACCGAGTAAGCCTTACCCTAACTAAGCCTAATTAACATTTATCTCTTTAAAACCAACAAACCACCTCCAAACTCACTTCTCTTTTATTAAACCAAGAAAGCCTTATCTTAACTAAACGTAGTTAATATTTTTTCTTTTTAAAATTAGCTTAATCCTTTGCTTAATATTAAAACCAACCATATCTCCAAAACAACTCACGCACTACCCTATTCAATAAAACAAAAATTAATCTATTAAAAATAAAGTAAAATATTGAAAACCCCAATTTTTATTTGCATAAGTGACATAAGTACATAAGCAACCCATAGGAACCATAACAATTCTTGGTTTCAACAAGGAAACCAGTTGGTCTAGACTAATTCCTTATCCGAATCGGTTGTTCTTGATTCAGACTACCGGTTTTTAAAACATTGCATCGAGCCCTATTAGCTAATATTGAAGAAAGGAGAACTATCCAAGGGATTGATGATGAGTTGGTTTGGGAAGTAGAATGTGATGGATGTTTTTCGGTGAAATCAGCCTTTGATCTTTTGTTTCATGATAGGATCAGATGGAGTCAATGCTCTTTAAAAAAGATACGGTGCTGGCATATCCCACGGAAAGTTAGTCTTCTTATGGGTGTTCTAAGGTAAGACACTAACAGTTGATACTCTCATGAAAAGATGAAGAACTTTGATTAATATTTGCCTTTTATGCGAGGAGAGTGATGAAAATAGGGATTATTTGTTTCTCCATTGTCGTTTTATTTTTCAAATATTGTGTTGGTCGTTTAGAAAAATGGGGATTGGCGTTACTTTGCCATGCTCCCACACAAATGTTCTAGACCATTTGAGTTGTGATGGATTGCCAAAAGTTGAATGTATGATCCTACATATTGGAAGAACAATTGTATTCCGGGAGGTATGGTTGGAATGTAATCAAAAGGCTTTTTGAAGGGGTGGTTATGGAGGGTGAGATGGTCTAAAGGAGAGTACAACATACAATGTGGAGTTGGTTCTCAATAACAAAAGAAAGGTTCGAGATCTCGATAACATGGAAGTATATCTTCCAAACCTTATGGTGCAGGAATTCATAGAAATTAGACCAAAAGGGCGATGGGAAGTATCATGGGTTGGAAACTTGAAGTTGAACTTTGACGGAAGTTCATTAGGAAACCCATAGCCAGTTGGAGTTGGCTGGGGAGATTGGTTTTTGTTATGCGGGTCCGTGTGGGGAGAAAACAAAAATGAAGTGGAGTTTGATAATTTTGAAGTAAAGGGATGTGGTGGAATCGTGCATAATCGAAGGAGATTCTTTAAATGTTATTAACTAGTGTAACAATGTCTCTAGATCCCGTGGTGATTGAGAACTCAATGGATGCTGTGATCGAGATTGTCAATCAATTGTATGTCACCTATAAGTATATTTATAGAGAGGCTAATGAAGTTGTTGATTCTCTTGCAAGGGGAGTTTTGTTTTAATCCCTTCAAGTTTCCGATGCTTTATTTGTACAAGTCTGATATAAGTTTCTTTTAAGCAATAAAATTTCAATACTCTTATCCAAAAAAAAAGAAAAAAAACTGCATGGAGGTGTAACTTCATAGTTTACATGCAATATAAGCAATTCAGGAGTCGTCCTGGTCCGATTTTTCGAGTTGAACAAAGCGCTCGAGTTTTTGAAACCAATGTTTAAAACATCTAATGGATATGAGCCCATAGTATCAATCGGATCATTTGCCAACAAATAAAGGAATGTGAGCAGATTAAAAGACATTACGACATCTGATGCTCCTTCTAATTCAAACCCATTCTATCCATTGATCTGAGCAATAGTTTCCAGAAAAGCCCATAAGCACACGTTTGAGTATAAAAAGAAGAGAAAGACATACCCCATATTTAAAATTATGGTCCCATGCACACCTTCGGCTCCACGGGGACGCTCCAAATTAAAAAAACAGTCAAAGAACCGCTTAATCTCTTCCCCTACTTCTTTTCCGAAAGTACGAATTTTATATTTTTTTGGGAAAGGTTTCTATACTACTCATATATAATAGAAGATATATATATATATACCCATGTAGCCGTTTAATTTAGATCAAGTGAGGCACTCACTTTTTTATCTTAGATAGCTTCAAAGTATTTTATTTTTAATTTTTCTCTAAAAATTGTATGAATATGAAATTTGGTACATGCCATATTCTCAATGGGGCGTACTTAAAAAAATACTAATTAACAACTTAAGTACCATTTGAATTTTTCAAAGGTATTTTGGAATTTTTATTTCATTGAAAATATTTTTTTTATAGTTTTGATGGAGTTTTTATTTCATTGGGAATATTTTTTTTTATATTTTTGATAATGGTAAGTTGGATAAGAAAAGTCGTAAGAGGAACCTTGCCCTTCTGTTTTTCTTCTAAAAACACTTTGGGGGTGAGGGTAAGAATGAGAGTGAGAGAGGGAGAAAAAAATGGCGGGCAAACATGGAGGGTTGTGCGAGAGAGAGAGAGAGAGAGAGGGATGTTTCACGGGCGGAGAGGGAAGGGAAAGATAGGAGTGTTTGTTTCACAAGAGTGAGATCCCAAAGAATAGAAGCAGGGAAAGTGACTTGCACTAAGGGGGTATAAGTAAAACAAAAAAAAGAAAAACAAAAGGGGAGAGAGTTTTAAGAAAGAAAAGAAAAAAAGGTTTTTTTCTTTTCTTTTTCTACTTTTGAAGGGTTCTATGGGCTTTTTGTCGACATGAAGGTATATACAGGAACATCAATTTATAAATTGGGTATTCTTGTAGACATCTTGTTCCCATGTCAGCAACATTCTATAACAACAATTACACAAAATGGAGCCACCACAGACAACAATATTCACTTGTAGCAAAGGTTAAATTTTATCTTTTCTATAGAAGAAAACCCATAATTCTATTCTATCTTGAGATGCTGGTTAGGTTGAGACCAGGCCATTTTGAAGGAAAAGACTATGTGTGTGCACGTGCATTTAAAAAGATATGTTGCATCCTGTAAACAAATGTTGGATTGAATTATAATGACTTCGTTCCATCCATCCTTCCTGTCGATGGTACGCGTCAGCCATGCAGCAGAATCGCATTCAAGTAACGAACACGTTCATCCAATAGTAAAACAACATGAGAAATTTACGTCGATATCCCTCCAAGTTGTTACGGATACACCTAAAAAATCCATAGTTTTGGCCTAATTTGGATGTCAAAGAAAAAAATACTCATATTGAAAAAAAAAAATACAATTTTTTTATCCTCAATTGAAAAACATTATCGTTTTATTTTATTATATTGGTAGACTGTTTGGATGTCTTTTAAGATATAGAAAGAAAATTTTATTCCTCAATTAAAAAACACTATCGTTTTATTTTATTATGTTGGTAGATTGTTTGAATGTCTTTTAAAATATAAGAAAAAAAATTTATTTACCAGATAGGTCTGATTGGATGTGTTGCAAGAAATCCCAAACCCAATTTATACCATTCTATAATAAAAATCCCAAACCCAATTTATACCGTTCTATAATTTAATTATATTGATGCTTCTCTTTTGCAGGTTATTATTTTGATTCTTCTCTCTAGATTTGTAGTTTATTTCTACAAATATAGGAGACAAAGAGAATGAGAAGAATCAGAAAGTAAGAGTAGGGAGGAGTTCAATATTATTATTAGAGAGAGGAGCAGGGAGAAGTTGAACATTATCATTAGAGAGAGTAATGGATGGCAAAAAGAGGTTTCCTCTGTAAGTGTTTTAGGTTTGGGCGAAAGAGGTTTGCTCTGCAAGTATTTTGAAGTTATAAAACATCTAATTCTGTATACTCAGAAAACCTCTCCATTAAATTTAGATAGAGAATAAAGGTTTTTAGAGATATTGAGCAAACACCTCATTCTGTATATTCAGAAAACCACTCCATTAAATTTAGATAGAGAATAAAGGTTTTTAGATATATCGAGCAAAAACCTAAAAAAGAATCACTATCCAGCAACCCGTCGAAATGCTAGAGCCCCTCTATGAAATTAGCATTAAATTTAGATAGAGAATAAAGGTTCTTAAAGATATCGAGAAAAAACCTAAAAAGGAATCACTATCCAGCAACCCGTAGAAATGTTAGAGCCCCTCTATGAAATTAGGGGCTTGGAATGCTAAAAAGCTCTATGAAATGAGGGGCTTTCTAGAGAGAAGATGGAAAGGATTATAGGGAGAGCTCTATAAAATTAGGGGCTTTCTAGAGAAAAAGATGGAAAGGATGTTAGGGAGAGCTCAATGAAATTAGGGGCTTTCTAGATACAGAAATATGGAAAATAAAGGTTCATTTTTTAGAGAGAAAAAAATTCGATGGGATCTAAAAAAGATGTTAGGATATGTAGTTGAGTATGAAAGAATGAAATAGCAGCGAGATGGTGGAAAGGCTAAGAGGGAAGCGAGTTTGGGGGAAAACCGGAAGGGCCAAAAGAGAAGCGAAAGTTTGGGGGACAAACGCGAAGAGGGAATCTAAAAAAAATTGTGAGCCAAAAAATATCCATTTTTTCTCCTCACGTTTTTTTTTTTTGGCACATTTGACTTAGCGTCGTAATCTATTTTGTTGAGATATAAATACCGATAGGGTTATCCAAACGGTTCCAATGCCTATCTCAATCTTTTTTTCTTGTCATTGAAAAATATTGCAAGTTTAGATACATCCAAACTAGCCCTTTAATCTTCCTGTTCACGTTTTTTTGGCACATTTGGCTTAGTATCATAGTCTATTTTGTTGAGAAACAAAGGCTGATGGAGTTATCCAAATGGTTCCAATGCTTGTCTCAATCTTTTTTTCTTGTCATTGAAAGATATTGCAATTTTGGGTACATCCAAACTCGCCCTTTGATATTGTAAAACCCTTTGATTGATCATCGAGAGATATATGACCATGAAAAATAAAAGGGAAAAATTTATATAGAGCCTGAGGCTCTAAACAATCAAATTTGAGCCTATCTCAAAAATTTTACTAAAAGAGGTTGTTTTGATGTTCAAATATCTTCAAATTGATCACTACGACATTAAGAAGCATGGACATGAGAAAAAAATAGATTTCAAGTTTTAAAAATAGTGTATTTTGTAACACATTTTTGGACCGTCAATTTTCAAGATTTTCAAGTTTTCATAGATATGTCTCCACAATTTTTGAAGCTTTAAACTGTATAAATAAATATAAAACATATTTTAAGGCTATCACGAAGCTTTCCAATATTGAAACCACATTTTTTGATACTATTTGAAGGTGGGCTCTAATTTGATTGTTTAGAGCCTAGGCTCTATACAAACCGCACCCAAAATAAAAAGATTTTAAGTCTAAAAAATTGTGCATTTTACAAAATATTATCTACACCGTCCATTTTCAAGATTTTCATATGTTTATAGATCTACTTGATTTTAACCATGTTTGAAATTTAAAATTTTATAATTAGAGATAAAAATAGATTTTGAGATAATCCTAAAACCATTTTACATCAAAATTATATACCATGATAAAATTTGAAGATGCACCTTAACTTTACAGCTACATATGCATCCATATGCTAACTGCACCCTTAAATAAACACTCTTAAAATATCTGTTATTACATTCATACCCTTTTTTAAAAAAATTGTTCACAGATTACTCCTACTTTGGACCTTTAATATCTAATGTTTAACTTAATAGTCTTAACTTCGACTTGAAACAAAACAAGTTTTGGACCTTGGAAGTCCGATATTTTTCCATATCGGTAAGGGCAAGATAAACATTGCACTGCTAAGTAAAAGCATCGGATCTTGAAAATTCAAAATTAAGGTTTGAAACGTTTGATCATCAAGATCAAAGCATCAGATTTTGAAAGTTCAAAGTTAAGGTTTGAAACGCTTGATCATCAAGATCCCTAATATGAATGATAACCTTCTCTTAGCTAAAGTTGGATCATTAGGTTAATCTTCAAGGCCCAAAATAAAGATAATTTTAAAAACAGATTTTTTTTTAAAAAACGAGTGTGGATGGAAAAACAAACTTTTTGAGGGGATTTCTAAAATAAAGCTAATTTGGAGGGATATTAGCATAAATATCTCAAGAAAGTAACTTAGCTTTAAAGTGTTTCAATAAAGACAAATCTTAGCTTAGAGAGTTAAGCATAGAATGAACAAAAATATAACACAATACAAAATAACACCATACAGTAGCATTTACTTGTATGAACCACATTCCGATATATTAGAACCAAACAGTACAGATATCATTTTCAAAGTCATTCATCACCTAAAATGTATCATACATCAGAACAGAGAGTGGATGCGATGGAAAATGAAATCCATTCCTCTCTGCTAAGTAAGTAAGAACATAAGAAATAAATAGTTCTATTCTGGGTCAACCCATGATAGCGATCGTCACTTAAAAGAATGTCACTTGGAATAGATTGAAGAGGAAACTCAAGTCTCCCCAAATTTTTACCCATTCAACTCGTAATATTTCTTTGAACTCAGCATATAAAGCCGAAATGAAGACTAGCCCATTATGGTAGTTATGCCAGAATTTTCAGTCCAACTGTTATCTAAGGGAAGTGCAGTAACGTCTAACATTTTACAAAACCAAAAACCAAAGGAAACTTTGATGATGAGTAATTCCACTCTCTGGGGGACTAACCACATATACATAAATTCAACCTAGCAATACAACAAACAAGAAAATAAATCAGCTTATGACTGACCAGAATGGAATCATCAGCTCAATCCCAAGCTTCAGAACTCGGACAAGCCCCCAACATCGCATGGGTGCAAAATACGCAATGTAAGCACTTTGATAGCGAAGTACTGAAATACAATATTGAAGCCATCAACTCAAGTGCTCAATTATGCTCGGTTCCTTGTATAAATTTGAAAAACACCCATGGGATATCAGTGAGAACGAAGAGGAACCTTAAATTCCATATACTAAGCTAATCCAAGTTCCAATTACATGGAGCACCCCTAATTTTTCACAGGAAAAAAGGAAGAAGAGAAACCCAAAAAAGTTCAAAAAAAATTTAAGCATACCCCAATTACCCATAAAAAAGACTACTAAAGAACCCTAAATTGGCGTCGTACACGTGGTCCTAAAATGCCCAGTCTGATTGCACCGGCTGCAATGCACCACTCGCTTCACTCTCCCACGATCTTCAGCCTTAATCCTCTTCTTCCGTGGTCGGCCTGGCGGTCGAAGAGATTTCGGAGGGTTTATTGAAATTTCAACTGCATTGGCCACCCCATTTTGAGACCCCTCTGATAACTCTTTCCACAGGGTCTTATCAGGTACTGGGTGTATAGTTTGTGAATAAGTCTTCCGATAATTTGCCACAGTGAAGCAACTCTCAGTAAACCGATGCACATTTTGCCGACAAGACAAGAGAGCAGCAACAGCATGAGAGCAAGGCAAACCATACAGCTGCCACCCTCTACAAAGGCAACAACGATTCCTTATGTCCACTATGTTGGTCCCTTCATGTGATATAACTTCAAATTCAGCTTCATTGGCTCGCAAGACCTGGTAGCTACGAGCTCGATCTAGAGCATCAGCTACTCGGCGCTCAGCAGAGGGAACAAGTATACTTACCCATGAACTGCTAGTCTCTCTCCGCTCATTAAACCAAGTCATGAGTTGCCTTCTAATACACTCCATCATCTGAACTATAGGCAAACCTGACGCCTCAAGGATCCAACTATTCAATGACTCTGTGATGTTTGCTGTAAGGTGACCAAATCGGGTCCCCTCGAAATAGGCGGTGGCCCATAAACGAGGGGGAATTCGCCTAATCCAATAGGCAGCATCAGCTGAAATCTCTTCGATTTCAACAATTTTGGCCTCGAATTCAATCACAGTAAGCGCATAGGCAGCATCCCAAAGGAGGTGGACAAGCGTTGAATTGTTGAATTCTTTGCGAAAGCTCTCACTCAAATGGCGCATGCAAAACCCATGAAAAGCAGTAGGAAAATTGGCCTCGACACCGTCTACTATCCCCTTTTGCCTGTCAGATAAGATCGTGAGCCTAGGCATGTTCTCAGTGTTCACCTCAAGCAAATTGTGAAGCTCCGACAAAAACCACATCCAATTATCATCAGTTTCTTCATCAACAACCCCAAAAGCCAGTGGAAAAAGCTGACCATCCCCATCAAAACCAGTCGCAAAAAGAAGAGTACCCAAATACTTGCTCTTCAAAAGCGTGCGATCAAGCCCAAGCAAAGGCCTACAAGCATTCACAAACCCATAAATTGAAGCATGGAACGAAACAAACAGTCTCTGAAAGCAATTATCGACTGGGTTTCCATACACCGCAGCTATACTCCCTGGATTAGTCCTCCTAATCTGTTCACAATAAGCAGGGAGAAGCCTATAACCTTCTTCAAAAGAACCTCGAACTGCTTGCATAATCCTCTCTTTTCCACGCCATGCTTGCTTATACGAGAGGGTAATCCCATAACTCCTATGAATATCCTCTAAAATCTCTTTGGGTTTATAACTAGGGTTTTCTCTTAACCGTTCTTCAACCGAGTTTGCAACCCAAGCAACTGAAGCTTGTTGATGACCTGAATGAGTTATCCCACCACAAGTATGACCTTCGTGAATTGTTCGTATTGAGAAGGTGGGTACTCCAGGTAATTTAGCGGCATGAATTCTCCATGGACAACCTTCGCTAGCACACTTAGCAGTGAACCTAGTTTTGTCTGATTTCACAGTTTGTATCTCGAAATGGAGAGCAATTGCTGCATCTCTAAGAGCCCTCCGACAAGCTTTAACATCAGGGAATTCTTGACCAACTGTAAGGTCATGGTTTTGGGCAATTGCTAAATCAAGACTGCTTATCCTTGGTTGAACGGGGGTTACTTGTTGAACAGCCTCAATGGCAAGCTCATGGGACTGGGCAGACACGAGGTCCCCATGGGCCTGGCCGTGAACCACAGAGAGGTCTTCGTGGCCCTGAGGCCCGACGGATAGCTCATGGGCATGATCGAGTTCATGGTCAGGGAGCTCATGGTCAGGTGCAATGGTCATGTGGTGGTCGGAGCCCACAGTTAGGTCATGGTCTTGACCTAGGGCGAGGTCATGGCCCTGAGCTCGGCCTAATTCATGGTTTGCCATTAGAGAGAGGTTCAAAAGGCTTCGACAGCTTGAGTTCAGGCGTAATGCTAGGCTCTTAATGGTTGGGAAACCCTAAACGTAGCTTACCATCGCTGAAACCGACAGAAAGACACCCCACAAACGAGAAAAGAGAGCAGAGAACAAAGCACGGAAAACAGAGCACCAGAGGGGGGATGTAACAATGGTTTGGAAACCCTAACCAGAGCGCTCCATTCGTGTAAGGAGCAACATAAAACCCCAATCCTAACCCAAAATACAAGCGTTCATTGAAAGAAGCTTACCTTCAGAGAGAGTTTCCTCTGCTGATCTTTGAGGAGGAGCTGGTACGAACGGAACCCTAATTTTGGCCGGAGCAGGAGGGAATATGGACTTGACGGCGTTAAGGAGAGGGAGAGAGGCAAAAGAGAGAGAGAGAGGGCTGAGAGAGGTTTTAGAGAGAGAAAGAGTTGCAGAGGGGTAGAGAGAGAAGATTTGGGGAGGGTTGCAGAGAGAGAGAGGATCAAGGGCAAGGGTTTGGGAGAAGAAGGGAAAGGGCAATTTAGGTCAAAACAGGATTGGCCATCGATCGCCCACTATCAATCCTGAAATACCCCATTGGCTCCTCGTCAAATGACGAAATTACCCTCAGACTGTCGCCCTCTCGCCTCACGGCACGATTGCCCTCTCTACCTTACTTTCTCTCTCTACCCCTTCGCTTCGGCCTAAACAAAAACACTAATTCCTATCTAGCCCTACACTGTCTTGTTCTGCAATTTTCTTTTCTATTTTTCAACTATTTTTAATAACTTAGTTTTATACTTTTACCGATAAAAAAAACAGATATTTGTTATTATCTTTACGTTTTCCTAGCTTATTATAAATAAATAATTATCTAGCTAATAGAAAAACATTAAAATTGTACTAAAAAATAATTCCCCTTGTTACATTTAATAGTGTTTTAATTAATGATATGGAGAGGAAAACTATAGTGTGTTCCTATTTATAAAAATATTACTATCCGTAACTCCTTAGTACCATATCAAATCTTCTCTACCTTTTCAAGATTTTTCTTCACTTTTTGTCCCTCATTTTCTGAATAAACTTAAAAAACAAAATTGACTTCATTAATTTAAGAAAAAATCCTCTATCATGAGGTGCTATTTGATTTATATTATTTTTTTAGACAGTTCAACATTAGGAATCGAACTTGCTATGAGGCACTAATAGTCGCTAATTTGCTAACTATTGCGTTTAATACTTATCTTATTTTAAACCATAAATTAAATCTTTGTCCTTAATTAAAAAAAATTATTACATAAAAAATTTCTAAATTTTAATGATTTTACCTATATATATGTAAACATTTTTACTTGCACGTGAGTGCCTTGTGGTAAAAAAAAGGCATTAGAGGGCACAAGTCAAATGGTCCCTAAAAATGTATACATACAATTAAGGGGTATTTAGGGTATTTATGAGGGGATGGGCTCTTTTGTCTTGTTTTGGGAAAGAGTTTGGGTATTTGAGCAAATTTAAAGGAAATAAGAGCCCTATTGCAACTGTCCAGTCAAAAATGTACCCTTCGTCACTCTTTTTCTTCACATTTCGAGGGTTTTTGCACCCCCTCTCAACGGTACCCTGAGACCCTTTTCGTAATTTGTCACTTACCTGTTATATGCAAAAATAGAATGGGCATTTCTTGTAATTATTATATAGTTTTGGAGAAATTAAGAATACAACACTTGGTTGTTTGTTTTTTTTTGGCAAATAATTTTAGGATGTGGAGCTTTATTTGAAGCAATCCGAACCGTTAAGAGCTAATTTTGAAGGCATCAGTTGGCCAAGCTTCCCATTCTCATACCTCGGGTGTAGAGTATATACGTTTCGAGAGTTAAGACGCCAATTTTTTGAAATTTTGAACACTAATGCTTCCAAGTCCCAAGAAAAAAAAACTAAACTGTTTCAGCTATTGCTCAATGAAGTTCGTGTGCGTGTTTGAACTATTGTGCATGATATTATTATTTACTCGTAAATATCTTGAATATTTATTATGAATAAGTTAAGTTGTTTATTAAAAGGTATGACCTTTGATACAGCGCAATCAGGATTTGTGTAATCAACTTTAAATAGTTGAAAAAAAGATTATGATGATGATGAATAAGTTGTTCATTTTATAATAAAATGTATTATAGAGTAAAAAGTTGAATATACTAATGGTAACTCATTGCAAATTCATTGAGAAAAAGATAAATTTGTCAAATTATTGAGAAAAACTCTTTAACATTGAATTTAATTTCAAAAATCAAATCAAAGCATGAGTTGGAACGGGAAAAAAGAAGTAAAATGATAAATCAATCGGATGTATTTTGATAAATTTCTAGAAAAAAGATAAAAGGACCACGTCATCCAAAATAGTTTCCATAATTATCAAAATTGCGCTTTTATTCTATGCTATCTTAGGAAGAACTTATTTAGAATGGCAAACATGAAAGATCTCCTTCGCAGCGAGTTCTAGAGTTGTACCTCCAATAAAAAAAAAAAGAAAAAAAAAAAGGAAAAGCTGAGTGTTTGCGTCAGCACCTTAACATAACAAAATTTGAAGATTTATTTAAAATTTTTTATTTTATTTTCCTTGGAAAGTTGATAGATGACCCACACGCAAATATTGTGAGCAAAAGGAGGTCTAGATTTGTAATAGGGAAAATAATAATACCAAATATTGTGAGCGAAAGGAGGTCTAGGTTTGTAACAAGGGAAATAATAGGTTATTAGCGTTGTCAGATTCGCTTCGCTTTAGTTGAAGTCGAAGCCTTCGAATTTTAAGACTAGACTGAAGTGAAGCGAAGCTTTGTGGTGTAGCTTCAGTCAGCTTCATCCAGCTTCGGGCCAATTCAACCCCAGCAAAGAAATATCTATAATTTTTTTTCTTTATTGTTTTTATTTTTGAATTTTTATTTATTTTTTATTTTTTATATGCTCTTATATAAAATCTAAATAATTTCTATTAAAATTTTTAAAAAAATCCGAAGTCTTCATTTGAATCAGCCGAAGTACCAAATTACTTCGTTTTTCTCACTAAACCGACGAAGACTCCTAAATGAATCTCACAACATTGAATAATACCCATAATTGAATGCTACCTCATGTTTTTGAACCATGTACAAAATTTTGAAACCTCTAATACTGAAAAGAAAGAAATATACAAAATGGCAGCCAGCTATGGACATAGACACTTTACCAATCACACCTGAGAAAAGGACAGGCGGTATTCATTAAAATTAGTAAGGCTTTTTTCTCAGGTAGTTCGGCCACAGGAGTAAATCCGGGGGATGTAGTGTCGAATGCAGAATATAACTTTTAAAGGGTGGAATAATACATTTCCGAACAGAAAGTGTTCATAAAACTGCAGAAGGAAATGGAATTCAATTCTACAACCAAATTTATAATTTAAAGTAATTTACGTGCATATCCTTTTAAATTACCGCTATTATAAAAATCTCGCAAAAAATTTGAATATTAGGTTAATACTTATTTTTTGCATTTTTTGTCAAAATCCGACATCCACTATGGAAGTTCTACATCAGGCCAGCAAGTTCACTCTGGCCACTAATTCCACAAGCTTGCTGGATGATTAGTACTTGAAAATTCGAAATTCACTCGAAGTATTTTACGCCTCATAATCACTTTAAGACGAGGTTCAAGTATTATATTACTAATGTTAAACTTTCAGATCTTGAAAACTTGAAATAAAAGCAATGTCATCATTTTGAGAATAAAAAAAACAAAAAAACTAACTGAGCATAATAATGCACAAAAATTTGACTTCTTGGACTACGGAATTTTAGGAGGATATTAAACAGGACCAACAAGTATTCCCCCATGGGTAACTAAAGCCACGCTGCAGAAAGGAAACGGAGCAGCTCATAAAACCAAAAAAAAGAAAAAAAGTAGAGCTCAAACTTTTATGCACTTTAATATTCACTGATTCAAACTCGAGCCCAAAAAGGCAAAAAGTACTTAGGAGTTCACACTCCATTTTGCAATACATAAGCACTAGCCTTTGGTTATAGAGAGATTCAGTATCACGAAGTGTGGAGAGAGAGAGAGAGCATATGAAACTCAAGGACAAAAACGTGTATAACACACAAGAAGCATAAGAAGAACCAATTTACTCAAATATATTATTTTTTGGCACTTCAGCAGGCAGGATTCAAACTTGGGACATAATGCTGCTATTGTTAACACCTTAAACAAGCCCAAGCAGGAATCCCAATTTAGCCAAATACATAAATGTACTTGAAACCAATAAGCAAAATCTCTCAAGGTTGATAGCACTCCACAATGCCCCACATACTCTATGCATCAGGAACTATCAATCGTGATGGCGGGTTCAGTGCATCAGTGACAAAAGAATCATGGCTGGAGCATAGGAGAAGCTACCACTAGCATTTATTATGAATCAAAACCTGGCTCCAGCACTATGGGAGAGAAAAACCCCAAACCACCCTTTTGAACGACTTTCGTCATCTCAAAGGCCCTTACAGCTCCTTAGACTCATTTCTTCTCAACTTAACGGCGCTATTGTTCTTTCCTTCATATTCTCAAGCCGAGGCAAGAGGTCTGCGACAACCTTTTTCACAGAGATACGATTTAAATGATCCCTTGAGCCATTAATTGCTGTTTTTTGAAGCACTGTTACCTCCATACCATCAACATCTCCATCATTTAACTCACTCCATAATCTCTCCTCCTCATATAGATTTGAGGCGCGCAAAAGCTCTAACACTTTATCTAATGTGGCAACATGCCGACCTGCTCCACAGCCTGTTGCAGTTGCACCACCTACTGCATTTGCAAGTAGTAGTGTGTGGATCTCTGGTATATTATTTAAGAATCCATAGATTATGGCTGCTGAAAAGCTATCACCGCATCCCACAGTGTCAACCACATCAACCTGTTGAACAATCACATTGATGATGAATGATAAAAAGGAACCAACATACCGACATCTCTCTCTCTCTCTCTCTCTCTCAGCACACACACATACACAAATATAACCAAGGAAATATGACATGACAACATGACCATACCTTGAAAGCTGGTGCACAAAATATATGTGATTTTGTTATCAAAATGGAACCCATTGAACCAAGTTTTATTATGACCCATTTGGTGTGCAGTCCTCTCCTGATTAGCTCTTGACCAGCCATAACTGGGTTGGCCACACCAGTTAATGATTCAGCCTGGTACCATTGTGTCAACAAACCAAATGTCAAGGGGAAAATGGAAAAAAATAAGCAAAGCATATAATAGAATCCAATGACGTAGATCATCATCATCATTCATTATCCGAGCTTTATCCCAACTATTTGGGTTCAGCTAATCCCACCAATTAGGTATCATAGAAAATAACCAATGCCTAAATTTTTATAATAAGGAGCATACAATAAAAAATTATATCATCTTCAAAATATATATATTTTTAAAAGGTCTGCGTCAGAATGCTTTTAATTGTTGATGTAATGAGCTTTTGTATTTTTTATATTTTTTATTTTACTGTTGTCTCGATGTTAGGTTTGGGCTTATTTTGAGTTTCTAGCTTTCTTTAAGGGTATTTTTATCTTTTTTTAGTTGTAGATAATTGAGGGGTAGAACTGGAAGTTTATTTTTTAAAATACGAAGGTTGGATTTAATATGGATTAGGGTTTCTTAAAAAGCAAGTTAGGTTTTAGGATTTTCTTCTATAAATATGTAATTGAGCAAGAAAAAAGACGAGAGAATAAAAGTTTATTTTGGGTTTTGTGAAGAAATTTGTTTTTTGGGGTGGACACCTTTGCAGATCTTGAGAGGGGTATAATCTCTCATCATTTTATATTTTATCTTTTATTTTTATTTTATTTCTCATTACATCAATTGGTATCAGAGCTTCTACCTATTTATTTATTTTTTTCTTTCTTCCTCTTCCCTACATCAATTGCTATAAGAGGCCTTGAGATCCATATGCCATGATGCTATCACAAACATCTACCAATCTAGTTATAGAGCATGTGGATCAAATAATTGAGAGGCTAAAAAATAACTAACAAAACGTCTTGGCAGACAAATACAAGTTCTATGAGGTCTACCAAGCAGATTGCAACATGGGGAATAATAATATGAAGCAGGTGGAAATGGAAAATTAAAAACTGATCATCAATTCGAGCTTCGCTCACACACCGCAACATGCTCCAAAAGTAGATGTGGTGGGGCATTAAAAAAAAATGGCGGACACTGCAAGAGATTTTGGCATCAGTCAGGTTACCAAACATCAAAGTTTTGTTGGATTAAGTCCAACAATCAAAAATCCGATAAAGGGTGAAAATTTCTAGTTTGAACAAGGTGGAGAAAACATATATGGAAAATTTACGAATTCCATAAGCTCAAGGTCAAGCTTCTTTCAACCCCAGGAGAATGATGTAATGAGTTTTTATTTTTTATTTATTTTACTATTTTCTCAACTTGAGGTTTAGGTTCTAGTTTTCTTTTAAGGTATTTGTGTCTTTGTTTTAGCTGTAGATAAAGGGTTATAATTTAATATTGATTAGGGTTTCTTTGGAAGCAAGCTAGGTTTTAGGGCATTCTTCTATAAATATGTCATTGGACAAGAAAAAGAATAGAAAAGAGAGGAATAATAGATTTCGGGTCTTGTAAAAAAATCTTTCGGGGTGGACTCCCTTGCAGACCTTGAGGGGGGTATATTCTCACACAATTTATTTTTTATTTTTATTTTTCTGATTTGCTTTTTTTTTTCTCCATCCTCCCTGCATCACTTGCTAAGTAAGAATGGAAAATGACACGTGCTGAACCAATGATTGTAGATACCCACAATTCAAATAAAATGGGTACGTCACATGCATTATTTGTAAGTAAACCATGATATGTGTAACCAAAGAATTTTGATAACAATGATATTTGATTATTTTGAATTTCCTCAACAAATATTTGAGCTTAGTTTTGCACAAAATAGGGCATTTACAAGAAATTGACAAAATCGTCGTACAAAAATGAATTCTAGTTATCCTAGCGACATAGGCACTCCACAAGATATTGACAAGGTATGGATGAAGAGCCATAGTTCAGCAAAATCTCATTAAACAAAACTTTAGATAAATTGCATTATCAACCACAATGCCAACAAAAGATATCACCGTTTTCAGACTTGGATGAGTTGAATAGGACTTGCCTGAATAACCTGGGCTTGGCAGGGCGCAAGCCTGAGTTCGCCTCCAAACTCAGGGGTATATATAATTGATAAATAAGTGGTTGTAATGGACTTATAATTGCTTTAATATTTTACAAAATCAATTCTGATTGAGTTATAACTAGTTTTCTATACACTTTTTATGGTTCTATGTTTACTAGTTTTTTTCCTCTGATTATCTCTTTTTTTTTTCTTTTTTTATAACGTTAACCAGTTTTCTAATTTTCTTTACTTTTGAAAACTTCTTTTCTCATCTTTTACACACTTTTAGTGTTGTTTATCATTTTTTCTCCTTATTTTTACCAATTTCTCAGGATTTTTTCCTATTTTTCTGGGTTCTTTGGCTCTTTGATTGGCTCAGTGCACACTCGAGTAAGTCAACTGGGACTTTCCCGAGTAACTTGACCAGGGCGGGGACCGAGTTCCGAGCTCAAGCTGAGCTTAAAAATAAAACATGTTATGAAACAAATGAACAAACCTCATCAGCAGTCAAAAGAAGAACATCACTCATCCCCAGAAACTTGTTAAGAGCTCTTTGTTCAATAGGTAGACCCTTAGAAAGAGACTTTGCTCGTGGCCCAGGATCAAAAAATATTGACGTACCCACATCGCTTGCAAAATTTATTGCAGAGACAATAAGATCAGGAGAAAGTTCATCAAAGATATAACCATTGCAGAATAATATCTTTGATTGTCTGATTGCCAATTCCACGTTCCTTGATAGTTTTATCATCCAATTGAATGCTGGATCCTTGCTAAAATCAGATCGGCTGAAAGTTTTATACGGCATAAGATGCATAGTCAAATAATGCCCAACCATGAAGAAGAAAGCTTCTAGAACAAACTTGAATGGAGAACTTAAAAAAATAAAAAATATTGTACCTGCAAAATCCATGCCTTTGCAAAGGGTCCACCAAAACCCAGCATATAAGTGTTTCATAGAAGGAACTGTTTTCTGCACCAAGTTCGGTATCTCCATCCATTCCTACCATGGTAATACCCTCATCTCCTAACACATCCAGTAGGAACCTTCCATAAATTTCATGACCAACATGACCAAGAGTGACACAACAGAGCCCAAGCCGAGCTGCAGCTATTGCCAAGTTGCAGTTACCACCAGCTTCCCAGTATTTCTACAAGGGATCAGAACAAGTCAACAAAGATGTGCATAACCAAGCATTATTCACTTCCTAAGTTGATAAAAACTCACTGAGAGTCTTCCATGCTTGCCATATATATAGAGGATGGTGAGAGACAAGAAAGAAGAAATTAAAGAGCAAGTCCATAAAATAGGTATGGATACAGTGAAAATGTAAAACTCATTGTTTGAAATCACGAGGAACTAGAATCTCATGCATCGATGTTTGACTAGTCTCTCTGATGGTTCAGTGATCATCACTCAAATTGCAACCATTATTAAGGCTATTTCACACAAGGTCAGAATGCCTGTCCCAAGAAAGAAGGGAGAAGATAATCCCCTAGATAATTTTACTCATGAACAGAGTTCATTCAAGGATCCCTTTCATGTGGCAGATACAGAAAAGCATGCATCTGTGGCTCTTCAAATTCACAAATGCAAGATGCTATCAAAGGCCAAAGTTTCATTTCCACAGTTTTTCTATTAAAAAACCATCCTTGTAAACCTTGAGACTGGGAAAATGAATATAAAGCAAAAAAAGGTATACATGAACAATCTGTATTTATAGCACTAAATAATATATCAGAAGACCACTGTAAAATTTAACTTTTTCAGCATTCTTGAGGTATATGTTCATCCATATAGATATGGGGAATGCAGTGGATCAAACAATTGGATAACCCAAAACAAAAAGAAAAGCATGTGACTGACTAATGTAAATATAAATGGAATACATATTCTTATAATGTATTAATAATATATCAACACATATGTTAATATATTTCTTCATTTATTTTCTGATAGCTATTTGCTCAATTATATTTCAATTTATAGATGCTCCCCAGCCACTCCAAACCTCAAGGTTCTCCATAGGCAATGTTTTACAACTCAGACAAGTTGACTCGGACTCGCTGAGTAACTCAGGCTTGCCAGGTTTCCAAGCCTGAGTCCCCTCAAAACTCAGGAGTAAATAATCACTATAAATTTTATATTAATGTAATCAGAGTTGATTTAAATGATTTAATCCGTGATTTCAAAATTCTAAATGACTTGGATTATTTTTTTATACTTTTAAGGGTTTTATATTTTTTTTATTTTTTTATGATGATTTCTTTATTTTCACAATTTCTTGAGGAAATGATCTTTAAACAGTGTTTCATTTTTTTGAAAAATTTTTCACATCTCTTACATACATTTTCTATTGTTTATCATTTTCTTCCCCCCCCCAACCCCATGTTAACAGATTTTTAAGGATTTTTCTTATTAATTTAACTTTTCCTTTTGACCATTTTCAAGTTTGGCATGGACTCGGATGAGTCGAACTGGACTCACCCGAGTAACTCAGCCAGGTTGGCGAGCGACTTCCACGGCTGAGCTGAGTTCTAAGACATTGTCCAAAAAAGTTACTTAAGCCATTGCCAATGACGAAACCAAACCTCATCCACATAGTCTCCATGGATCTCTAATGGCATTCAATACCATCAATGCATTACTAGATTTTCTCCAATTCCCTTCCCATATCTCCAAATCTTCCCACACATATTTCTCTAACAAAGTGTTCTTCCATATATATCATATTGCCTATTGAGCACCAAACTCACCTAAGCAGTAAAGTCTCATCAACCACACATAATCCACTTTTATCAAACCTCTCCTCTAAATAATCTCCATCATCAGTTCAAAGTTCATCCTCTCTCTCTCTCT